GACAAAATCTACCTCCGGGTTATAGGTTAGGCTTAAAGCCCTTCTCAAAATAACACACAAAAAAACTACTCCTGCAACGGGGCTACTCCCGTACCAAGGGTTAACTGCTCATTAATGTCTAGGGCAGCTGTGTATATCATTTTACATACCTCATTTCTGCTCCTGCAGGCTCCAGGACTGATTCACGCAGCCTCTTCCCCCCTCTATTCAAGTGGTCGAAGGCCTGCTAATATCCTCACGTCTAATGCAGAGTCCGTAGCCCTGCATTATACATGAGGATGCTGAGGTACAGTCCACGAGCCAGAGCGGAGGGGAAAGATGTGAGCACCGAATGCCAGGAGAACCGGGATCAGGTAAGTAAAAAACCTTTACACATCCTCCATAGACATTACCTAGCAGTTAACCCTTGCAGTGCAGGGTTAGCCTCACTGCAAGGATATTTTTACATGGAGCTGGGATTCAAAGTATATTATATATAAACCCTAGCAATGAACTTCTCTTATTTGCTACCTTTTGGTCTATTAAATATACAGTTGATTGCATTTTTGTTATATTTGTTCGATACGTGCAAAAAGTGCACTTAATGATTCTTCTAGAAATCTTGTAAGCTGATAACAGTGCAGCGGAGGCAGAAAGCACAGGAAGTTATCAGTTACATTCTTCCCAGTTCTCTGTGAAATACAGAACATTTACCCCCTATGTTATGATGTTGAGGGGAGGGGAGGTGTTCTATTGTCCTAAAACATTTGCTTGAATGATAACCCATCTCCTATATAGATACAATACAGTGAGTGAACATTGGTAACCTTTAACAAGAAGTGTGTTACTGGCGGGATTACCAGGTAAAAAAAAACTGAATAAAGAAAACCAATGCAAGCATCATAACTAAGGAGTGGTAAGCTGCAATATATTACACTTTTGTTCTCAGGTTTAGATTCATTATGGTTTTTTTTCATGGGTACTTACAAAAGGACTTAAATGTATTGAAACTGATAAATCAGAGTCAAAATGGAACAGGGGCGTGTCCAGGACATGGCGGCGGCTAGACATGCTTAGCTGGAGCTCCGACCTTGTTGCCCACTTTTTCGACATCCCATAATCAGGCGAACCCTCTGCTCTTCGCCCGCATCATGGGTAAGAAGACTGCACGCCAGGAAGCCTCTAAACACCCTGTCCGCCGGTATTAAAAAGTACCTAGCGACCGATCGGCCGGGCTCGGAGACCCCATACACAGACTTCAACGGAGCTCCCATACAAATCTTTATTGACTTGGCCAGGGAAACTCTCCTCCGGCGCAGGGCTCTGCATGCGTTGCTGGACCTCCTCCGCGCCAACAACATCCAATATTGATGGGGCTTCCCGGCCTGTCTGATTGCCTGCGAAGACAAGGCAGGACGTCAGTCCTACGCTTCCCTGAAGACCTGGTGGGCTTTTGTAAGACTCTCCATAACACTTCCCCGCAGCTGCCTGGATGGGGTGATATGCTGCCTACCCTAACTCTGCTGCCTGATCCACCGTGGAAGGCCGTTGGCGCCTCAACGCCCCCTGCTCGGCGCAATACCTAAACGGGCGCTGTTTGTTTTACTTTTTCTTTGTTTCTTCTGCCAAGCCCTTGTTAGTGTGCCTTTACACCTGGCTGAGTGCTGAAGACCCCTGAAAAGTTATCTCATTCTGATTTGTGCCAGGATGTACTACGTTAAGATGTTGCTAACTCCCGTCAATATCCTACTTGGTACTACAGTACCTCGCTATCCAGTAAGCGCAGTGGTGTAGCCATCGGATTCCACAGACGTCTCACATTTAAACTCCTTGATATGAAAACTGACTCTGCCGGGAGATTCATGTTCCTATGAGGGTAGATGGGGCAGCACGTATATACCCTGGCAAATGTATATGGTCCAAGCCAAACCCAGATTCCGTTCCTTAACCACATTTTACACTCTCTGAGGAGAGGCTATAGCCTCTTCTCCGACAGGTAAGAGCCCTGGGCCAGATGGGTTCACGCTCAAATATTACAAAACTTTCCAGCCTCTCCTCATTCCCCATCTCTGCAAAATACATTAACACGTTCCCCACAGGTGCTCCCCCAGCCCCAGCCACATTACACGCCCACATCTCATTCTTCCCTAAAGCCAATAAGGATCCGTCTGTTTGTGGCAGTTATAGGTCCATATCTCTGCTAAACGTGGACATTAAATGATATGCTAAGGTCTTGGCCAACCGATTGGCACCATTGCTACCCCAACTTATATCACCTGACCAGGCTGGATTCATGCCGTGTAGGGAGGCCAGAGATAACACGCAATGGGCATTGACGCTGATCCATCACACTTCAACCTTGCCTCTATCGACTATTCTCCTCTCCACCGACGCTGAAAAAGCGCTTCACAGAGTCGACTGGGACTACTTGGCCACCACGCTTGAGCACATTGAGCTAGGCCCTAGAATGTTGCACTCAGTCAAGTCCATCTACTGTCACCCCACTGCACAAATTAAGGTAAACGGCACTTTATCCCCCACCTTTGAACTCTACAACGGCACCCGTCAGGGATGTCCCTTATCACCTCTCCTATTCACCCTACCCCTGGAACCTCTACTCATCTCTATCAGAAAAAACGTGAACATCAGGGGAATTGAAGTGCAAGGTTATGAACATAAAATAGCGGCCTATGCCGATGACATCCTCTTTTTCGTTCGACAGCCCAGAATAACTTTCCCGAACCTTCTTAAGGAATTCGAACAATTCGGCCTAGTATCTAACTTTAAAATTAATCTCCATAAATCTGAGCTATTGAACCTCACTGCCTTTCCTTCTGAATGCCAACACCTCCACCACTCCCTCCCGTGTATTGTAACCATATTCCTCTACTGAATAATATAAAACTTGACCTACCATATCTAGGTGGATTAATGACCGACCCTTCCTCACTTTGACGAGCAGGATCAACGCCATCAAAATGAATATACTGCCGAGGGTACTGTACATGCTGCAAACAATCCCTATCCCCCTGACAGCTTAATACCTTAGGACCCTGCGTAAAGTGATTATTATGTTTGTTTTTGGAATCGTTCCAGGGCCAGGATCTACCGCCAGATTTTTATTAGGAGCAATCGAGATGGAGGCCTGGCCCTTCCAGACTTCACTTTATACTATTATGCTGTTGCCATTAATAGAGTTTTGGACTGTACCTATCAGATGGAGGGTAAATGGTGGTTTGATGTAGAATCTTCCCTATCTGCTCAATCCTTATCAACAATATGATGGATCCCACCGGCATACAGGGAGCTTCGGGGTACCACCTCCCCTCTGACTCGGTCCATTCTAAACATTTGGACTAAACTCTATCCTCAATTAAGTGGCTCCTATAACTCTCCACTATTACCCCTATTGGGTCATCCATTCTTTCCTCCTGGTCACTCGGATGCTAGTTTTCGTTTTTGGTCTGCAACTACAACTCATAAACTACATGAGGTCCTACAGGACAATGGTCTGCTTAGTCTACAACAACTACAAAACAGGTTTGGCACTAGACCTCTTGACTTTTGGCGATATCGCCAAATGCATCATTTCATCTCTTCTCTCCCCAAGCCCTTACGAATACTCAATTACCTATGCCCTCTAGAAGTCCTTTTGTCTCACACCTCCCCTCCAACACATGGTCTCAAACATATACTCAGTCTCCACTATTCATCCTCCATCAGCACTCATGTAGTGGAATCCTCATTCAAATTGCTTGCACGCTGGTACTATACACCAGACCGTCTACATGCAATAGGCACAAAGGCACCCATGGTCACATCTGGTGGTTCTGCCCAAAGCTCAAACCCTTCTGGCATCAAGTCACTCATCTCATTAATTATATAGCCGGTCAACCAACCCCTAATGACCCGTGGACTTGTGTACTACACCTGTCAGACATGCCACCTGGAACATACAAGAAATCCCTGATGCCACACTTACTAAATGCAGCAAAGTTACTCATCCCAAAACACTGGAACTACCCTGAAATACCATCAATGACAGAATGGCTGCATAAAGTGGACTACTTATATCTTATGGAGGAACTTACCCTTGCTAGACAGGACCGCACAAACCTTTTTGAAACCTTATGTTCTCCCTGAACTGCCTTCAGAGCCACCCCCCAATACTTAAATTTGATTCGCTGAATGTCTATTCGTCCGGCACTCCTGGCTATTGCAGCTCATCTCAACTACATGAAAGGTGCAGCCTCACATGTGTTCTCAGAACTTGAAGTTATTGCCTTTCAAATGAATGTAATACTGTCATGGATTGTATGGGCTCCCGCACATGTATACCCCCTATCCCCCCCGCCCCACACACACACACAACCTTCTCTGTCCCTATTCCTTGATCTTTCCTTTCCAGCTGTCGTCTTGCTCTCTTCTGTTCCTATTTTTCTTCTTGATCCTTGTCTTTCCAAGGTTCAGTTGAGCAAGTATCGTGTCTTACCAAGTTTGACGTAAAGCAGACTTTTTGTGTATTGCCTTATCTCTTGCTGACTGCACCTGATATTGTACCTGATTTGTACTTGTGTCATGAATTGGGATGTGATTGGGATGTTTGTTTTAATAGGAAATCCTACCTGATCCATTCAAAAGCATCCACTACGACTACGCCATTCTCTATCTTGAACATTATTAATCTACTCTAAATGACATATGAAACAAATAAATGACAGGCATAAGTAAAGAAGCTGCCATTCACATCTGAGTGATTTGTTGTGCATTTCCCAAAGAGCAAGAACATTAAACATGACAATTCCCATTATATCCAATGGTCTCAGTTCACATCTGAGTGCCATGCTCCCACTTGCTCGAAAAAGTACATAAGCTTTTTTTGGAGCAGAATTGCATGTTTTTGGCCCCATAGACTTCAATGAGAAGGAATAAAAATTAGCATTTTTTAAACATTTGTTTTGTAAATGTTTGCGCCTAATAACCGGTCTCCTCCTTTAAGCAACCCCATGCATGTGAACAAAATGGAGAATTCAGGAGTGTCCTTTAAAAAAGCAGATATATTCAACTGCCTGGTGAGATCCCACAAAAACCTCTATGACCCCAGTGATGCCCTTTACAAGAACCGTGGTAAACAGCAGAGGGCTCGGGAAGAAATTGGACATGCAGTTTTCCCAGATTGGGAGGTCTGGTAACACAAGACACCACAACTACACACAGAAGAACCAAGAAGGAGACACAAGAACAATGCTGACATATGATGTCACAGATGATACTGCTTTCATTGACCAAAACAAAAACACCTGAAGCTTGAAAACACATAAAAATTAGTTCAAAAATGTACTGAAAAATGCTTAAAAATTGGCTGAAAACGCTCAATTGTGAATGGGGGATAATTGTAGCTATTGAAATGAAAAACCTGCTATGAAATACAAAAGTGCAGATTCTATGCTTGATTTCAAAATTCTATAAATACATTAACATCAATATGTAGTGTGATATGTTAATTTATCATTGATTATTTATCCATTTTTACTGGATAGCTGAAAGTTAGCAAGACATTTCTATTGTGATATTTACCATTGTCCAATGAAGCCTTGTGGCTGTAATCTGTCATTAGAATATTCTTACTTATTTTCATATAAAATCCTCTAAATTGCATTATAGAATTAGCTAGCAGCTGTGTCACTGAAGAGTCAACTAATGACATTGTAGTTATGTGTATTTGTAGTTATGAGTAATAGTACTGCACCACATGAATAGCTGAATACTATAACATGATTAATAACTACACAGCTCTATGATTATTTCTTGTAGGACACATTTTGATAAAGAAAAAATGTTGCTTGGCACTATCTAGCTTCTTCAGTTAATGCAAGAAACAGCTGTACAGTGCAGAATCAGATAGCAAGCAGTTAGCTTTCAGATCACTGCAGTCCTTTGCCTAAGGGACAAACTCTGATTGTTTGCAGTTGGTACTTCCTTTTGCACATTGCAGATGCTCTTTGCACTGCCATGTATTTGGCCTGTCTCGGGGATGGAATTAGCAGACTGATCAACCTTAGCCCGTTTCAGCCAGTGATCATCAGTCAGGATGGTGGAAGAGTCTACAAACATATAAAAAGTCAATGATCTAACCATATCGTCTATTGTCTGTAGTTACCTTTAGTCTAAATATCCTTTAATGTGAAATAGGATAACCAATATTTACATGGCTATGTCAAAACTTAAATCACCTGACCATTTATAGTGTTAAAGGAGATGTCATAATTTCCTCTAAAAACATCTAAAAGGCTGTTTTACAATAGTGATGGGGCACAAAATAGGGTCTTTTCCCTAGGCCCACCTATGATTTAATCTTGTCCTGATCGAGGTAGTCAATTTGAAGCAGCAATGTCATTCATTTACTAGTCTCAGTTTTCTCTCTACTTCATTTTTACACAGATAGCAAAGTAGAATGATAGAAATCCAACCTCCCCCAATGTTCGGTGCCTGAAGACACTGAGGGAACGTTATTGTGGTTGTTAATTTTCATTTTAAACTGCATAGTGCCAACAACTAATGAGAATGAAGTAACACATAAATGAACAATAGTACCCTGTTTTCAAAAGAGCTGAAAACCTTTTTGGTATTGTATGCATAATAGTGATATATATGTGTGTGTGTGTGTGTGTGTGTGTGTGTGTGTGTGTGTGTGTGTGTGTGTGTGAAACAAGCAGTAGATTGGTGGGTTGTGTTCCCTCTGTGCTAGTTGAGGTTTGCTTTTAATTTGTTCAATCCTGGTACCTTCAGCCAGGTATCATTCGTTTTTTACTATCAGTATCTATCTCTCTCTAGAATCATTTGTCAGCACTTAGCAAATACACCTCCTCCAACCCAGTGTATTTTCTAACTTTGAGATTTAGCAGTAACTCACAATTATCACTGATTTCTGATGTTCATCTAACTGCTTTCAGACGTTATTTTATTTGTTTTAGAAAGCTTGTGAAAAATCTAGAACCTTTGCCAGATTGTTATTGATATCTGGGATACTATTGGGAGGCTTTCCCCTTCACTGGTGACATCAGGACAAGAAATGAGTGTGTGTTACCAGGACAAGAAGACACATGGCAATAAACTCACCAATAAAAAAAAGTTCAGTGTTGCTCTCTCTCTCTCTCTCTCTCTCTCTCTCTCTCTCTCTCCCGCCTCCTTTCAAAGATCTTCCATTACTTTCTGTTCCTATGACATCCTGTATTCAGGATAAGATGTAAGGTGTAAGCTCACTAATGTGAGCAAAGACAACTATAAACACTTCATTTAATTTAGAACAAACCTTCTTCACTCTGTCTAAAACAAAGACAAAAGTTCGAGTGGAGTTGGGCTTTAAATAAGAACTATTTATTCACACATGATGGCGGCAGCAGCAGCAGTCTGCACCAATATACTCTCCAACTTCTTCTTCAAAAAGTATTTGTAAAAGGGTTACTGCTACCTGTTAATCTGGGGAAGGAGACTACAGTATGAACTGCTTGTGATGTTAATGATGGCGCGCTGAAGAGAAGCAGCATCATTCATGAAAACACAAGCCCATAAGCTGGCATCTAGTACTCTGAGCCCAAACCTGCTTGCCTGCTATTCTGGACAGAGGGACTAGAATATTAACTGCCGGCTTATGTTGTGGACTTGTGTTTTTTTGAATGATGGCACTCATCGGAGGGTGCACTGTTGACCACGCTAACTCAGCAACCAAGACATGGATCAGTGTTCTATGCACTAGGTCTCCTGAAGTATTCTGCAAAGATTTATTATTAAAGTGATACTTCTTCTTTAAAGCTGAACTCCAGATAGTTAGTTACAGACCCAAGGAGGCAGGGTGGGCTGACATTCCACCTCAGGGTGAAAGTCCACAGCCGGTTGTGGGATGCAATGTAAAGTTGGGTGCCAGTCACTTTAAAAGGTTTTAAAGATTTCATTTCTTCAGCAAGTCACACGGGAGGAATGATTAAGGGCTACAGACAGCTAGGACAGTACAGACCCCAGACTCACTGACCACCTCCCAGTGCAGACAGCCTTTAAGGCAAACGCGTCAGCACTGTGCATGACAGAACTTCAGCTGGTTAGCAGACATAGCACAAACTGCCTGGGTGAGACGCTAGACTCCCTGTGAGGTCCAAGCCAATCTATAGTTTTTCAGGCACCTCCAACAGCCAAAGTTCCTCCTTGGTGCTCCTTCCCAGGAACAGCTCCACTCCCTCCTGGAAACAACCTTCAGCAAGCCAGTGCGAGCCTAGGCCCAAACTGTGGCCTTACAGCATAGCACATGTGGCCTAGGTAAAGCCATTCCCCAGACCATTACTTTTTTAGGTTTTAGATAGAGCGGAGAGGAGTTGGAAGCTCTGCCAGATTTGGCAAACATAATAGTGTAAAGGGGATCAGGAAGGAATGTTTTCCCTGTTGGAGCAAACTGGACCAGCACTACATCATGGGTGAAAGTGGAAAGGATCCCATGCTACCCATCCACAGGTATCCTCATGTATGCCAGCTGGCAAATGAAGTGGTGCGGGAGTGAGATATAGGTAAGTATCTGTGAGAGGGGTCTAATATTTGCCCTTTCCGGACAAAGTGTGAGGTTTCTTTTAAATAAGCTTGTTTCTGTTCTTACATTGATTGTTTATCATGTGTTGTGGCTGTGATTTGAATCCCTGACTTACCTCTTCATTTGCAAAACACTATATTTAATTTCTCAATGAAAAGACGATTCCAGCATTTCTGCAACCCAAACTACAAAATGGGGCCTTGTGCTTTCTAACATAGCAGAGTCTTACTGTGTAAGCCATTAAATAATATAGAAAGTTTGGAGTTTAAATGATACACTTTATTGGCCAAGTTAAAGGAGAACTATGGGGGTGGGCTTTTCCCCATAGTTCTCCGAAGGTTAACGTGAGGAAACAAACTAGCGCCCTCCCTTTACCCAAAGCTCAGTATACCGCAAGCTGCAGCTCGCGGTATACTGAGACGCCGCTGCTGAAACGGATTCCGACAATTATGTCTGGATCCATCCAGCTGCGTGAGTGACAGCTGGCTTTGCCTATCTAGAGGTAGAGCCAGCTGTACCCGCCCCCTCCCTCGTCCGTTCCGCCAGTCAGCGCTGGAGGATCGGGCAGGGGGAAATACAATCACTCCCCTGTTACGGCTCACCGGCGGGGATAGATCAAGAAGTGAGCGAGCGCTGGTATGTGTTCACTCACTTCCCGATCTACTGAGCCGACCTGTGACAGTTTCATTGTCACAGGTCGGCTCAGATTATGAGGCTGAGTGAAATGCACTCACCTCATAACTTCTCCTTTAAGTCATTAAAGGATATTGTACTGTATGGCAAAGTGCACATATCCTTTTTGCCCCTTTTCCCTGACCTAATTTAACCTACCCTCCACCTCCACAGATTCATACTATCCTCAATCTGATGCCGCTGCCTTCAGTGTTAGTTTAAATCCAGCACCACGAGTCTCGCTCTCCTGGCTGGGCCTGGCCATTACAGCTCCATAGACTTCAATGGTGCTGTCTCCTCAGGCCAGAGATGAAAGGAGATGGCCTCAGAGAAATCTATGGAGCTGTTTTGAACAGTTGTGGCCAATAAATAAACATGTGTTTAAGGCCTTCCCATTTAAAAGTCTATGGGGCCAAAACCTCATGATTCTGCTCCTTTACTACACATTGCGCGTACAAATAATTGAAATACAAGCAAAAAAACCTCTGAATCACCTTGCTACACTCATGCTTACCTGTAAATGGAGTCTAAGAGCTCTTACATATGGGCACTGGATATAAGGACAGAGTGTGGGGTGCGGTTTATATGCCATGCACATAAATCAGGTGCATTGGGAGAGCGAGGTTGTCTTATCACTGGAGTGGAGGTGAGCAAAGTGGACTGTAGTTCCAGTTTAAGTCTAAGGATTGGCAAAACAAGCTAGGCAACTAGCATTTTCAAAAACATAGGTCAGCACTCCCAGCCATTTCTATTCCTTCTGTAAAGGTTTCTTTTAAGAGTCTGAAAGACCAGAGGAACATGTAAATATTAGTTTTGCTGGTAGTCGTTTCTGTTCACTCTAACTCCTTGGTTCTCAACTGGTGGGTCGTGACCCAAAGGTGGGTCGGGACTCCATGTTTAGTGGGTCGCTGCGTGCCTTCCACTTTTCCAGGTAAGAGGCTTCTCAGTCTCTTCCTAGCGCAACACAGTCAGTTCTCGCACCAAGCAGCATTCAAAACATGCTGTCCTGCGCTGAGTGTCAGCTTGAGGTGGGGTGGGCTGGAGCTCTGGCCAATAGGGAGCTCCATCCATAGGTGCATTGCTTACAGCTCCCTCTCATGCCCTGTAGAGGTTCCTGGATTAACCCTAGAGCTTTGTCCAGTGCCCTGCCAGCACTTTTACTGTTCTTTCTGCCTGAAAACTTGTAAACGTCCATGGCATACAAAACGTGTCCCCTTAGGTCAAAAGCTATTTTAGACCAGGTAGAAAACAGCGATAGTAAATTAGAATCACTTGCAGAAGTGATTGATAGTGATTTGTTGGGAAATTCGTCATCAGACACTGAAAGTGACAACAGCGACGATTCTGCGACCAAACTCAGTGATGTGCGAACTTGGTACTCTATTGACTGTGGTACAGATCAGGCAGCACCCCCAGAATTCCCATTTACTGGACCATTTTTTAAATTATTATGTTATATTTTTTTATAATTATTTATAATTTATTATATTATCATTTTTTAATTTCGTGTTTCAAACTTTATCATACCTGGGATGTCTACTGGACTCTTGTTTGGACAGATTTAGGTGAGTTATTCCCATGATTTACTATGAATTACAGGCAAACAATATAAAACAACAAATTTCCATGAAAAACAATGTACCACTTTGGGATGCTAAAATCCATAATAATCATACCGCCAGGGAGGTTAAAATAAATAAATAATTTTTTTGGAGTGTGTACAGTATATGTGTGCTAGAATGTGTCTGTGGTTGTGTGTGTCTGTCAGTGTTTTGGAGGGCCCGTTCACTCTAGTATAGTGTATTAATTGCATAGTCTCGTGTGATTAATGCACTGCACCATGCAATCGCATCCACTGTGCGTTCTGGGGCGGGAGGTGTGTTGCGCTGCCATTCATTTGAATGGTACCCCAAATGCACCTCCCACCCACAGTTCGATTGCCTGCACCGGAACGCGTAGTACCGCAATGCCGTGTGTTCCATTGCAGTGCGACTTGGGTCACGACTTAATGACCAAGGACAAATGTGGGTCCCGAGGTTGCACATTTTGAGAAACACTGCTCTAACTACTACTATCGGGGCTGGCAGGGCACACTGGGTCTTATAGTCCCCAGGCTGGAAGAAAGCCATTGGCTTATACACTACAAGGCTATATGTTTGAGGAGAGCTAACTATCACAGCTACTCTATAAGGCCCAAAGTTTGCGGACACCCCTCTAAATGATTGAGTTCAGGTGTTTCCAGTAAAGGTTACTGGTAATGCTACAGTATACAGTACAAAGACAATTTAGACAGTTGTGTGCCAACCTTGTGCCAACAGTTTGGGGAAGGCCCCTCTCTATTCCAGCAGGACTATGCCCCTGTGCACAAAGCCAGGTCCATAGTGATATGGAATGACAAGGTGTGGGGAAGTGCGAGTGTCCTGCAGAGAGCTTTGATCCCAACCCTTTTAAACACAGATGGAATAATATTGGAATGCGAATTGTGCGCCAGGTCTTCTCATCCAAGATCAGTTCCTGACCTCACAAATGCTTTTTTTTTTATGAATGGGCAACACAGACACACTCCAGATGTTTTTCTAAAGTGTAAAAAAGGAAAGCATGTGTAAATGGAGCCTAAGAGCTCTAACAGATGGGCAATAGATATATAGACAGTTTGTGGGGTGCCATTTACGTGCCATGCACATAGAGCAAATGTCCAAGGACGTGTAGCACACCTTACCGGACTTCCCATATGAAAACATGGGTGCTCACAGTGACTACGGATGGCGCCGTATGAAGTAGAAACGTTGTGTATAGATGTCACCAGCACTCCAAATATGACAAAATACGTCAAAGTTTTAGTGAACCTTCATTTTTATTTTTGAAGTCACTCAAAGTGGAATCACATTCCACTTTGAGTGACTTCAAAAATAAAAATGAAGGTTCACTAAAACTTTGACGTATTTTGTCATATTTGGAGTGCTGGTAACATCTATACACAATGCACATAGAGCAGGTGCGTTGCAATGCATTGTGGGGACATGTGGTAATGCATATTTTACTGCACATTGCATCAACGCACAAGTGTGACTTGGCCCTAAAGCTTTTCTGACATCAAAGCAAACCTCTCTTTTCGGGCATACTGGGAATATCACAGAAAACACTGAATAAGCGTATCTTAAATGTTTACAATGTATTTACTTATATCCATTTTTGCAAATAGGTCCAGTTTACACCAACGCAGCAGCACTGGGAGACCATGCTGCATGTATTACAACACATCACAGTGCTCTGCAGTGCATGCTGGGGAAAGAAAAATCAAATATGTTCTGAAAATAAATGCACGTTAATGCAACACGGTGCGCTAACAAAAGCATGTCAATGCACAATTTAAGTGCATTTAGTGCTCATCAATGCGCGCTAAACGCAATAAAAGTGGTGTGAACCCAGCAGGACTCGCAATCAGGAGCCAAAAAAAGGTTGCAGCAGATGTTTTCATAAGCTACGCGCACATAGTCATTCGTGTGTAGACACATGGATGATCACATTATTAATTATTATTTATTAATTATTATTTATTATTATGAATCATAAATATTGACTCAAGTGGATGAGCGTTGAAAAGGCTAAAATAAAAGTGGCATCAGTATGTATTCCAGAACTATTTCGTGTTCTAGTACACACATGGACAGTTCTGCTCTGGTGTCAGAGAAGCTTGAAAAACACTGACAAAACGTTATGTTAAGGTTTCCCTTGTAAAAGCTATATAAGCATTGACAAGCTTTACAGTATGACTAAAGGCAAAGCTTTTTATAGGGGGTTATTCACAAAAGAGTGAAGAGTTTGGAGAAGGCAGGAGAAGTGAACAATCTAGGACAAAATAGCTGATTTGGAAACATTCTCCACTTCAGCTCACTTTCCAGTTCAGCTATGTTGCCCTAGATTGTTCCCTTCTCCTGCCTTCTCTATAACCCTGCGATTTGGATAGAGTGATGAGGGGTTAGAATCCCTTTTATATTTTTGTTGTTGTCTGTGTCTTGTTAAGGAGATTCACTCTGTCTCTCATTGTCCTGATCACCAATTAGTGAGGTTAAGGGCTCAGTTGACGAAAAAGGTCACCAGCACTCAAAAAGTTTTAAAAATGAATAAGTCCTTTTTATTGGACCATGGTCCAATAAAAAGGACTTATTCATTTTTAAACCTTTTTGAGTGTTAGTGACCTTTTTCGTCAAATGTTCGTTTTGCACGGTGCCATCCATGGAGTTACTGCAAGCACCATCCCTGTGTACTGGCCGGGATTGCTGAAAGGTGTGCGGAGAGCACCCTCACCCTACTGCAACAGGTTAAGGGCTCATTCACACTGGAATCAGCCCGCACGTACAGTTCCGTGCTGCGTGCACGGCCGTATCGAGCAGCTCCAGGGAAGGACAGGTGCTGCGTGTGATTAGTACACAGCCCCCGTCCTTCTCTATGGGACTACGCGGCCGTACGCCCCCCTACACTGACCCACCCTGCACGTCCATGCGGGTGAGCATACTCGTATGCTGACAGGATGGATCCTGTCTGCGTCCGAGCCAGGAAACACGCACCCCTACGGACCTGCACTTGAGGTGAGCATAGGGGGGCGTACGGCCGCGTAGTCCCATGGAGAAGGACGGGGGCAGTGTACTAATCACATGCAGCACCCGTCCTTCCCGGGAGCTGCCCGATACAGCCGTGCACGCAGCACGGAGCTGTACGTGCGGGCTGATTGCAGTCGGAATGAGCTGCCCCTAGAACAGGAATAGAAGAAAAATCTTCCAGTGGGGACACTTGTTCCTGTGATAGCTAAGATGGGATTTTTCATTCACTTTGGAAAGATATCCTCTCGCTTCCTGTTGAGTCTACAGGACAGGAAGTGATTACTTTTTTTTGTGAATTTTTGTGTGTTTTTTCAGGCAAAACCCAGGCTTGAGATTTCTGTTTTAGTCAATGGAATGCTAGGTGAAGGAAGGAGAAGCTGGTTGTAGAGGGTCCATGCACACCATAGCATTGCTGAGCTGAGAGAGTTGTAGCTGTTTGGAACCATAATGGAGGGGGAGGGGAGGAGAGATTCCTAAATATTGGAAAAGACAGAATCTGGAGCAGTTGCCCATGGCAACCTATTAGCTTTTCTCTCTCATTTTCAAAGCTTACCTGAACAAACTGAAGAGAGAAGCTGATTGGTTGCTATAAGAAAACGGCTCCATTTTTTTAAAGAATCCCCCCAAATGACTGAAGTGTGTGGGCAGACATATACAGAACTACAATGCTGGGCAATGTATATTGGTTTGATCTGGATTCAATATTGAAAAAAGTTTGACAGTTTTAAACTACTTTAACCCTCTTCTGTATCCAAAATGAAAAAAGTTTTGGCTTTAGATAGACATTAACTCCTAATGTACAAGGCCTGAAAAGTAAGTTGTAGGAAGTCCCCTCTCCATGAATGGCTTATCTCTGAGTGAAGAAATGAATGCAGCCAGCCCTCCTCCCAGCTCTGTGTTCTCAGCTTCTTTCTATCACACACATATAGATGATTCATGGGCAGACATTCCCTCTGTCTGTACACAGGACTTTGCCCTGCCTTCTACCTATGACTCGCCCTACAGTCAGATGAAGAAAGGAGGAGCAGAGCTTCAATAAAAAGTGTCTTTGTGTCCCTCCCAGTCACACCTACTGTCAAATCCCACCTTCCTGGGGGAGACACAGGTGCGAAGTGATCGCAGGGAAGAAAAGGAACACGGCACACCGAGCTGACTGCTGGAGCTCAGCTCACCATCCACACACACAAGCCGGCCGAGTCGGAGGGGACAGGCTGCTTTCTGCTGGGCTATTGTGATCGTGTATACCTGGGATCACCGCCGCTTGGGTAAACAACCTGCTAAGAAGAGCCACCTACTTTCCTGGATCTCTACACAGCGATCGGGTTCTGGGGTCTATTGGAAAGTCCTTCTTATGGGGTCACCCAGAGGATCTGGCACTATGTGCTGCTGGTTTTACCTGGCACTGCTCCTGGTGAGTGCTTTGTCTTACCCACAGAAGAAAAATCGACACTATTATTACTCAAGTTTAATTTTGTTTACTTACTTTCAGTCAGTGTTGCAAAAAACATATTTATACTTGTTAGTGTAACAATCTGAAACTACAGTAGTTATTGTTACTCTTGTATATAAGAAAAAGGTATGCGTGTATGTTTGTATACAATATATATATTTGTGTGTGTATGTGTGTATACAATATATATTTTAGATTTGTATGTATGTATGTATGTATGCATGTGTGTGTGTGATTATATATATATATAGATATATATACACACACATACATTACACACACATACACTTATTTTTCTTTTTCTGAAATCACACTTCTAGAAATACACTTCTAGAGACTGGTAGAAGATCGAGTTGGCCACTCCTCGATTAAGTTATATGGAAGGTATTACCTGCAGCCTAGTGGCTAACCAGGGAAAACAGAACAGAAGAATAATCCATTGTTCACAGAAATAATGTTTGCCCTTCATCAAAGCATTCTTCTGATCAGAGGTGTACTTAAATTTTTTATTTTTTTTTGACAGTGGGTAGACTCTTTTACATGGGCATCAGCTTTGCTGTTATCTATGATATATGATTTGATGGTGGTTTTTCTTACATCAGCGATATTTTCAGTTTATATGACAGCTTGTTCCAAAAAGTCAAAGAATTACAGATCACGAGAAGCTGATAACTGAGCAAGTCTGGAGTTGTCGGGCTTTTCCACTAATATTTCTAACCAGCTGCGGTTTAATATAAAGATAAAATGCTCTAGGCTGACATGTACTAACAGTGCCTTTTAGTTTGTCACAACACCTCCAAAAATAACCTTATGTTATGAAACCTAAAGGTCCCAGCGTAGTGCTCATCAGGTTTGTTTTGTTTTGTCAGGTAGACATTAAAATTGGTCTGTTATGGATTCATTTATTGTCAATTGGCGATTCATTTGACTGTCACAACTTTAATTTCAAGTATGGTGATCTTTATGTACGTCTTTTGTGAGATGTTTAGTTCCGCTGAACAGAAACATGGAATTATTTTGTAATTTGCATATTTGTGCAGTGTTTTTACTATGGGGCCTTTGCTCTAATCAATTATTGTCTGCTTATACTTGTCGGTTTATACTTGTGGATGTTCTTTCATTAGTTTCACTTTGATCAGGTCTTATACAGGTAGATTTTTAGTGGTCACAGGTATGATTATGTCAGTGCTGGAAAAGGTTCTGCCTCTGCTTTTATTCAGGCCTACAGTGGCTACATCGTTACTGGAAATACGGCATTACTTCTGCTCACAGTGCCACAGTTTTAAGAGAGGTGTAGATTCGAAGAGTAATCACTATAAACAGGATTATTCACAAAGGGGTGAAGAGTTTGGAGAAGGGAACAAGCTAGGACAACATAGCTAAGCTGGAAAGTGAGCTGAATTGGATAATTTTTTCCAAATCAGCTATTTTGGCCTAGATTGTTCATGTCTCCTGCCTTCTCCAACCTCTTCACCCTTTTGTGAATAACACTGATAGTTTGTATGATGTCTGCAAAGTTTGCTAGTGAGATATTTTCCCATTGTTACATTTGTAATACAGTATAAATCAGCAAAGCTGGTAATCAGGAAATCTTTCTAGATTCTCCTAGTCAACCCTTCGGTTATTTTTTATTATTAATAATAATAATTTTGATATTCTTTACTTTTGTACAGTGAAGTGTATTTTTTAGCATTTTAGTTAAAATAATAAAGGGTTTTGTCTAATGTTTCAAATTTAAATGGACATTCTTTTTATAGTCGGAGATTTGATGCAGTTTTGCAGGATATGAGACGTTTTGTGGTGAGCTAGCCACTAATAAATCCGAGGTAGCCCTCTAGGGGAGAGTTTAGGAGTGGGGTGGGAGACAAACTACTATGGAATTCAGGATCCTGTGTGCCCAAAAGAGTATTTGAAGTGGAACTTTAGCTTTGACAAACAATCTTTTGCTTGCAGAAAGAAGAGTCTCTGGATGTCTGTTCTACAATAAGTGTTTTGCCTGCCTGCTACCTAGTTTCTAAAGATTGTACCGATCATGCATGTGCAGCTCAGTGTACATTGTTGACATTCCTTGGTGGCGGGATAAATAAGACCATGCAATCATAGAAATGCTGGTAATAAGGGAGAGCACGGTCTTATCACAGGAATGGAGTTGAGCAAAGTGGATTGTACTTCCAATTTAAGTCCAGCGATTAGCAAAACAAACCAGGCAGCCAGCATTATCTGAAACATAGCCCAGCATTTGCAGCCATTTGTAGTGCTTCTATTAGAGTTTCCTCTAAGAATAAAATGTGAATATTAGCTTTGCTTGTTGTTGTTTCTGCTTACTCTACCCAATACTACAGTGGCTGGCATGGCACACTGGATCTTATAGTACCCAGGCTAGAAGAAACCCATTTGTTCTACACTATGAGACCATAGACCTGACTATAGCAGCTACACTATGAGGTCAAAAGTATGTGGACACTCCTCTACATTATTGAGTTCATGTGCTTCCACAGAAGGGTATTATCAATGCTACAGTATACAGTACAAAGACAATTTAGACTGTTGTGTGCAAACCTTGTGCCAACAGTTTGGGGAAGGCCCTTCTCTCTTCCAGAAAGACTTTGCCCCTGTGCACAAAGCCAGGTTTATAGAGATGTGGTATGATGAGTTAGGTGTGTCGGGGGGGGGGTGGGGTTATGAGTGGCCTGCACAGAGCCCTGTCCTCAACCCCTTTAAACACTGATGGGATAATATTTGGAATTATTATTATGAGCCTGAGCCGGGTCTTCTCATCCAAGAACAGTACCTGATGGCAGTAGCCGTGGCTGAATAGGCAACACAGACACATAGGGGTAATGGTCAAGTGTCCACAAACGTTTGTCCATATGTGTATCTGTTTGGCCAGCTTTGTTTCTAGTAGCATACACTTGGTTTTCAGGTTTTCTCTTTCAAATGAAAGAAAGTTTATATTATTTTGTGATGTGTTTGTAATATTGCATAAGAGTGCTGGTGTTAAAGAGCCCTCATAGCTAGCATGTGTTTTTTTGTTGTTATAGCTGCTGAAACACATATGTTTTGCACATTTATGCTTCTCTTTTGTCCTGTTGATAACACAAACTGTGTTCATTGTCACTTGTAGCAGGTTCATGTATAAGGGAACCCTTTACCTTCTATATAGAAGCTGCACCTGTTGTATGTACATTACTTTGCACTAGTATGTCTAGTGTGATTAGTGTCACGTGTAGTGACCACACTCCCTTACGTAATGATTGGTTGGAAATACAATAAAGTCAATTGCCTGTTTTATTTCACTACATTTTCTGCCTCTAGCAGTATGGTACAAACATTATAACATAGTCTTTATATGCTTCAGTTTCAACATTTTCTGCTGTATATCAGTGGCATCACAAGGGAGTGCGGGGGGTGCAACCTGCACCGGGTGACACCATCAGAGGGGGTGACACCAAAATGGCTGGCAGTAATTTTGCTGCAACCACCACTGAAATTCGGGCACCGAGAGCCTGACAGCTGCACGAGAGCGGAGGGCATACCTTTTCTTGCTGGATGGACGTCCCTTCCTTTCTCTGCCAGCATCCACCACTGAGATGGCCACTGGCAGTTAACTGCACGTGACAACATTATGCACTTGCATAATGATGTCATGAGTGCGTAATTACGTCACCCACTTCCTTGATGATGTCCCAGTGGGTGACACCCGGCCTGGGGAGGCCTCTGCTGTACATATGCATAGAGTGGGCAAGAGTAGGGCCTTTCTCACACCATATCCGTTGAGCTGCATTAATCGGCAAAGATCAACGCAGGTTCATTGTAAGGGGAAATAGGAGAGCTTTACTTGCCAGGCAAGCTATAAGGATATGAGGAAAGTTTATCTCACACAGTCTGTGGTCTATAGCAAACAGTTTCATCAATGAAAGGCAATTCTTCTTTCAGACACTTTGGTAATTTACATTAATTGTGTCTGAAGTAAAAGCTTTTGTGACAGTCGTTCAGTAGCTGTGTCAGTCAGCTGCACCAAAAACTTAGCATATCAAAGTGACAAGGAAGAATATAACATTACTCATGGATGAACGGACCTTATTTTAGTTAGTGTTAAGTTTAGGACACTTAGGCTAGGACGGTTGATAGCCGTTTTTTCCGGCCTTCAGGAGGCGATGGCGTCACCTCCTGAATGCCTGTGTTTTGTTTTTTTTTAATGATCCCAAGGCAGATTTTGCATTGCAGTACCACACCAAAACTGCGTGGCAAGCGGTTGGCATATGGTTGTAGCACAGTCCCATTGACTGCAATCGTTGTGTTTGGCAAGCAGCACTGCCTGCCAAATGTGACATGCTGTATAATATTTGCCTTGGCATGTGTATAAACCCGAGCGGCTACCATGTTAGGTTTAGGTGGGTAGTTGGAGGGGAGAGGGTTAAAATACAGGTCAACTGCCTGTTTTTACCACTCCTTTGCTGCTTAAAGAAGGCCTTAGGGGCCCATTTATAAAGTATTGGTAAGATCTAAAGCAAGCTATACCACTGCATTTCTAAAACTCCTCGGGCACATTTATACAGAACTGCTGTGTTAAGCAAGTAAAGTCCCATTCATTCTTTAGATAAAGAAAAAACTACTAGAAGGAGGAGGAAACCTGTCACATGACTTTGAAACAGCTCTCCTGTCCGCAAGTGTCCTGTGAAGTGCTATGCGGTGAATACTCTGGAGAGCATTGCAGGCTTTACAGTGTACAATTTGTCTTACCAGGCAGAAATATTTAATTATTTAAAACAACTCAGAGTAATTACTCTTTTCTATCTGTTAAGAATTTTTAAGAGGAAGAAATGAAATATATAAATGTATTATTCTTATTCTTTTTATTTATTTATTTTACCTCCTTGGTCTGTAATGAATGTGATCTAACTTGGGCCTCATTCATATAAGGCCTTTATGGCTGGAGATGGATTCCTGTGGCAAGCTACCTCTGGGGCGATTATCTGTATCTAACAGCAGGTAATTGTTACATGTGCGATTACATCCGAATACACGCGTAGAGCACCGGGTCCTATCAGCCTGTCATTTCTTTCTACACGCTGAGCGGACGCAGCTGTCCAGAACTACCTTTGATTCCTGCCCCAGAAATTCACCTCCAGGCACAAAAGTTTCATATGAATGAGGCTTTACTGTCCACTGTCAGGAGAAGGGCCCATTTACAGTTGTGTTTTTTACTGCATTAAAGCAGACAGGTTTTATAAAATGCATTTTAAGTAGCCATCCCACTCACATCTCTATGCTGCAGCTTAGCTTGGTTTTCTTAAAAATTGGACACCTAACATCTTGTGTTAAGCAGAGCGATTGAATTGTTTGGTAAATGTACACAAATCCATGTGTCATGCAATTTTGTGCACCTTGGTGAATGAAAATTTAAAAATATATCCAAATGTGCATCTAAATTCAAGAACATGTCATATTTTGCAGCTTCTCATTTCTTAAATGTGGTGGCTGCATTAGTTTTCCCTTTTTAAAGTCATTTTTTCCTTTATTTTCACCTGGCAAGCTGCAGTGGGGCTACCCCCTCCCTGCAAGGGTTAACTGCTCCTTTTTGTCTAGGAGACTGAATAAAGAAAATATACTCACCTGAGCCTGGCTTCTAGACCAGTTCCTGCTGCCTTGTTCCCCCACCATTCCGCAATGGAATGTCCATCGGCATCCTTACGTCTAATACACTGTATTAGATGTGATGACTCATGAGACCTTAGACCACCAGAGCTGAGGGTGGAAGAGGCTGCTGGGACCTTGTTGTATTAGTGCAAGGTCTGGTTTAGGAATGTGTGCATTATACTCAGCTCACAAGTCTGCTGTTTTCATTAGGGTCAGACTTGATCAATAAAATGTGTACCCAGCAAAGGGCATTGCAAATCTGTTCAGCCACTCTTGTGATCCTGTTAGACAGCACAGCCGAGTCTTTTACCTCCCTGCAGGATACATTGCAGGTAACCAATGCAACCTGGTCCAGGTCCACAGGTAGCAGCCTGTGATTGGACAATAAAGGACATGTGGTACACTGATGAAGTGATCCCCATGCTTTTCGATTCCTGTTGACATGTTCAAACTGAGTGCTGACTCTCTCTCATACCCTCAGTGGTGCAGTTAGAGGTGGTAAAAGGAGGCACAATATCTGAACCTGGATTCTCATATCTACCCCAGTCTAGCCTGTATACCAGTGCCTAGCCATAACCAGTGGTTATATTTTGCAATAAGTAAAATGCAGTAGGAGTGGCACAAAAGGATGCTGAGCACAGGAGTCCAGAAGGGAGATTTTGTCCTTGAAACCCTATAAATTTTAAATAATCAGGGGGGTTATTACGCTCTTAAGCATCTACTATACAAATAATAGTTTTGTGTCATAAGGCAACATCTTGTTCTTGAGAGGAAGCAGGGAATTGTAGATGGAATTCCGTGTTTATTTTGTAGCTGGTAGAGGATGAAGTCATGAAGAGCACACACACACAACAGTAAAAAAAAATGTCTGTGGTACATATCATATCACAGTCAAAACTGGCAAGCTATAATTCTAAACCATTTTTGGAACATGTCAGGCTCTATGTTAAAGTAACACTTCCTTCTGGAGGGTGGCTACTTTTCTTCCCCATGGTCCCTGTGTGTGTTGTAAAGTAGCCACCGCTCCAAGCTCGTTCACGTTATGGACTACAAGCTCAATACAAATTAGTAAATTAAACATGAGATTGCAGTCCATCACAGGAGTGAGCTTGGAGCAGTGACTTACAACACATACAGGGACCATGGGGAACAGTAGCCACCCTCCAGAAGGAAGGACAGTGTCAGCACCAATTCAGAGATGATTTGAGGATCTGCAGCTGACTGATACACAAATAAGCTACATTTTTGTTAATAGTTAAGATGGAACTCCTGAGTTTAGTGTCACTTTAATTTAAAAAGGATGCTGATTTTAACTTGTGAGATAAAGATTATTATAATTTACTTGTATGAAAGCTTTTTAAAGTAAATGTTATTTTTTTTTGCTTCTTTTAGCCATTGGTTGTAGCTGAAAAATCTTGTCATAAGATAAAACTTCCCGTACCTCATAATATTCTTACTGGATCCTTGGTTGGCACTGGTAAGTTCATGTTGTCTTTTGCTTAAATAGACATTGCTTGATGTTTACTTGGGAAACGTCACATTTTTACACACAGTTTTGATAGGAACCCTAAAATGGTTGTGGCAGAGCAAAAAAGGTACATGAAATGGAATGTTTACCTTTTGAATGTGTATATGGGGATTGCAAGATTTCACCATCAATTTAATCTAATTGGATCTTCCAATAATGAATTGAAAATTAAACTGATTTAGTTAATCGCCCCCAAAAAACAGTTTCCCGAGTTTTGGCAACATCCTTGGTTTGGGACATATGTTTCTATTCTTCAGTGGACTTCCATTGACTACTGTTTATGTGAAGCTTAGAACCAATGTGAGGAGGTCCCCAATTCCCCAGTGCAGACATGGATATGCTGAAGAGCTTTGCTGTATGTTCTTTAGCAAATAAGACCTGAACATTTGTGTGTATGTGTATAGATATCTTCTGCTTGCAGTTTGATACCTTTCCAGAAAGTCACAAAATGTAGGACTGCTGGAGGCCAAGATGGACTCTTTAATCCAGGCACTTTAAAGAACATTGCTGGGCAACAAGTAAAATCATCCACAAACTGTAATGTAGTTCTGCACACTGTGTAATAATACCAAAATAAGCAAGTTGACTTGTTTTTACCCTGATACCATTTTTGTTTCTCGTAACATTCTACAGCTGGATTGGAGATGACTTCTGCATACATTGGGCAGGACTGCAGTGTCTTGCCAGACTTTCTTGCTACCCAACTTCTTGCTTAGCAGTGCTTTTACTGCACTGTACTAGGAGAGTCCTAGAACATACATGATTACAATATTTACAAAGAGACAAAGATGAGTGGAGCTAGGAGAATCTGCCTCGCATAATCATAGGCTCTGGGATTCCCTGAACAAAAACTCACATCTAGAGGACTTCACGGAAATTCTGAGCCAGAAGGACCCTATATGCACTGCCATTATAAATCTGATAAAATGTTTAACTTTTTAAATGTCCTTTCTTGATCTTTTATTTCATTTTAAGGAATTTTAACCCCATGCATTTTGTTTTACTCCATAGTAAATCTCCATAACTGCTTGCACCCTAACGATGCAGTTGCTGGAACAAGCAATTCTAAATTTGCAATTGAACATGATGGTTCCACGTACGCCTTATATGCCAAAAAACATGTTAAGATGCCCAATCACCCTGTTTCAGTTGGAATAATACTCCGGAATCTAAATTCCAAAAAGGAAAAGATTATTCCAGTAACACTTGTACCTGAAACAAATGTAAGTGACGCATTTTTATTGCTTTATGACATTGTCTTTTGGATACTGGTCTGTGGAGACATGGCAGGGATATATGCATCCTAAGGTCACTGCAAAGGACAAGGGGGCACTATTTGCGTCTGGAGGAAAAGAGGTTTAACCTTTGCATACGAAAAGGATTCTTGACAGTTAGAGCTGTGAAAATGTGGATTAGACTCCCCCAGAAGCTGGTTCTAGCTAGCTCGGTAAATTGTTTAAAAAAATATCTGGATGTATTCCTAAATGCACAGAATATTACTGGATATTGAGTTATTATAGGTATATTAGGCATCAGAGATTGTTGATCCAGGGAATATACGACTGGATCAACAGTGGGTAATAGTGTTCTGTTTAGGCTTTTCTTTTTTTTTTTTTCTCTATAGGTTGAACTCGATGGACTTGTGTCCATTTTCAACCTGAGTAACTATAACTATATGTAACTATAGCAAGGAAAACAGTAGTCGCATCAAAAACCCCTGCATGCTGAGTGGACAGTGAGGGAACAAGAGCACACACACAGATGTCATCCCCATGCTCACTATTATACTATTACTCCCGCATTAAAGTGATATTAAAATCAAAATGTTTTTAAGCTATTTCAAATGCTAAATATAGATGCAAGCAGTAGAGCCGGTCATAGCACGTGAGAAGATATTGTAGGTAGAGAGAAAAATAGCAGGGCATGATTTAATAAATTATTTTAAAAAATCAAATTCAAAATGGCTGCTGACCTTGGTGACCTTTGGAACGCCATATTGTATTTGGCAGTTATGATATTGAGTTATCATATGTATAACATGTTTATTGCAATAGGAAAATAAATGCACGTTTATGCAATTTGATGCAATGTTAAAAGTGACTGGCTTGTGGCGGCCATATTGATTTTGGAATCGGGCCTGGTTTTACAACCGTGGTAGAAGAGGTAGCTATGGACATATGTGCAAAGTTTTGAGTTATTCTGATAAATAATTTCAGAGTTTAAGTTGTTTGCAGAATATTGCACAATCCAAAATGGCTGCCAAACCATGTGGTCACATGACTTGTAGTTAACATATATGACTTCAGAGCTTTGAACATCCTTATATAGCAATTTGTATATCTGTAGCCTTAGCGGTTAGGAAAAAACAGATGTTTGAAAATTGTCAGAAATAGGTTTGCTTAAACCAGGAAGGAAGCCAGAGCATGTGACCTATGACCTTTATATTGCCAAGGATTAAACACAACACAGTCCTCTACCATTGTTCCAAATTTGATGAGTTTTTACATAACGGTGTGGCAATAATTAGCATTTGAAAAAAAGAGCATCAAAATAATAGAAATATTGTCGAATTTGACACAATGCAATATGGCTGCCGACCCATGTAAAAAATTGACCTGTAATGATCAGTTGTGAATGCAGATCATACCATGACTATACACAGCAATTTGTTCATCTGTAGCTTTATCAGTTTCTGAGAAATGGATTTTTGAATATTGAGCTGAATATAATCACCTAAAACAAGATGGCTGCCAGGCAATGTGACCTATGACCTTTATGTTGCAAACTATTAGGCATAGCATAGAGCTCTACCATTGGGCCAAGTTGCATCAGTTTGTGAGTAACAGTGCGCTTATTACAGGCTTTTGAAAAAAAGGCCATCACAATAATAACATCATCTATACAGCATTGGCTTGCAGCGGCCATTTTGATTTTGGGATCGGGCCTATTTCTACAATCCTGGCAGAAGAGGTCGCCCTTGACATATGTGCAAAGTTTTGAGTTATATGGTTTCTGATATATGGTTTCAGAGTTTAAGTTGTTTGCAGAATATTGCACAATCCAAAATGGCTGCCAAACCATGTGACCAATAGCGCTAAAATGCACACATGTGGCAGCAGATCACAGCATAAGCTCACAAAGCAAGATGTACATCTGCAGCTTCAGAGGTTCTGGAGATGCAGGCTTCTGAATAGTTCACAAAAATTGTTACAAAAACCAAGATGGCTGCCACATCATGTGACCTATGACCTTTATATTGTAATAAGCTCTGCAGAGCACAGGGCTGTACCATTGTGCAAAGTTTCATGAGTTTTTGACTAGCAGTGCACTTGTTACAGACATTTGAAAAAAGCGGCATAATAATAATAATAATAATCAACACAATAACCAGAGGTGTCCTTGCAACTTCGTTGCTAGGCCACCTAATTAAATCACTTACAATGGATGCTGCTCCTTGGTGTGTAATAGTTATAGGGGTCTATTCACTAAGCTGCCGTAGGCAGCCGAGTGACTAACCAACCCCAAGCGAAGTGAGCTGTTCGGCTATTCACTTCAGGCTGGTACGGCTGATTCTAGCCGTATATCGGCTGTATTCAGCCGTACATCGTGTGGCTTCGGGTCGGCCAAACATGCTCCGCATGTTCAGCCGACCTGAAGTGCAGGAGTTCGACTTAGCCGATCCAACATCTGGATCGGCTAAGCCGAACCTCCGGCAGGCTACTCGCTGCTGTTCGGTCTATTCTCATAGATGCCGAACAGCAGTGAGAAAATAGCCGAATGCCGCTGAGCGGCATTTGGCTAGGCTGTTCTGCCCAGTCCCTCTGTGGTACCGGGCAGAATAGAAAAATAGTTAAACAAATAGAAAAAAAAAAGATTAGAAAACGATTGTGCGGAACTAGCAGTGACAGCTAGCTCCGCCCAACTGTTTTCTATTGGCTGGGCGGTTCTGCTGCCGTCAGAAAAAAACCAAAACGAACACTCCATAGGAATGCATAGCTAGATTCCTATTGGCTATTTCAATTTGCAATAGCCAATAGCAAACTACCTACTGCACCCGCCCTCTGCTGCTGTCAATCACCAGAGGGGGACCTGATGGAGAACTGCAGGTCCCCCTCTGCTGATTGACAGCAGCAGTGGGCGGGTGCAATAGCTAGTTTGCTATTGGCTATTGCAAATTGAAATAGCCAATAGGAATCTAGCTATGCATTCCTATGGTGATTTTCTCTTTTTATTTTCTTCTGACAGCAGCCAAAACGGCTCCAATGTCAGAAGAAAAAAAAAAACGAGCAGGGAAAGGTTTACTCTGCTCGATCGAGTGAACGTTTCTGGGAGAAAGTGTTTCTTTCCCGGGAGGCCAGGAGTCTATTAGAGTCCAAGAGCGTCCGGGGGAGGAATGACAGATGGCGTTCCTGGTTACCAGGTTTCCAGTAATGCAAAACCACTTGAAGCAAGTCAAATTCAGATCATAAGGTCAACTGCAGGATAAATGTACCTGTCAACGATTTCTGAATGATCGCTGAAGTATCTCAAACTGATGCCATTCACGCCCATCATCATGAACCCTTGCTCTAACCAAGTACAGTACTTTCCTGTAGACTATTTAGAATACTTAATAAAACCTAATAACACAGGCTAATATCATTATGCTTTGTAAATACATATGTTACTTATATGGTATATTTGTAAATACTTATGTTATTTCCTGTATTTTATTATTTTTAGGCTGTAAAAGGAAGATATACCAGAGAATTGCTAAGACGAACAAAAAGGAGATGGAGTCCTATGCCCATCATACATAATGAGAACTACCGAGGGAAATTTCCTTGTTTTCTTGAACGGGTAGGACTCAGATCCCAATATATACATAGAGTTTTTGTATATTAGCTGGTTGATTCAGTGAAACAATGCAAAAGAGATCTGATGAGGTTCAGTGTCAGATTCCAGTTTAATAACCAGAGATGAATTCTGACAGGTTGCTGTCACTGCATTTTGTGTATTCTTTTCTGAATAAGCAATAGGGCAATTATGCTTTTCTGTAAAGGTGATGCCAAATAAAAAGTTATATCTTTAGTTATTTAGATAAACAAAAATTGTATGTTTTAATTTCCCTAAAAAACATCTACTTCTTTCAAACTATATCTAGTATCCCACGGGGTTATTCACAAAAGGGTGAAGGGTTTGGAGAAGGCAGGAGAAGTGAACAATCTAGGACAACATAGCTAAACTGGAAAGTGAGCTGAATTGGAGAATTTTTCAAAATCGGCTATTTTGGCTGAGATTGTTCACTCCTGCCTTCTCCAAACTCTTCACCCTTCTGTGAATAACCCTGCCAGTCATTTATTTCCCAGTTGTTGGTGAGGGTTTTAAAGCCGCATAAGCCAAAAATACATGTGATGCCATGTAATGTTATACTAAATGTATCTTTTCCATGCTAGACTAAATTATTATCAAACCTATCCAGCAGCTGACACTCAAAATGTGAAACAACACACAATAATGCCAACTATAAAAACAAAATAGTGCAGCGCTCCATTTACAAAGTGAATAAAGCCCAAAAATATGTGATACAAATATATGTAATATAAACAATATATACAAAAATATTGGATTGGAAACACAGTTTATAAAGTCCCGCTTTGTTTGTTGAACTGTGCGGACTAGTTTATAATAAAAGTGGGACTTTATATACTGTGTTTCCAATCACTTAGATTCGTTGTGATATAGAGTGGAACTCTTATATTTTTGTATATATTGTTTATATTTCATATATTTTTTTATTACATTGTTAGATTGGGGGATACACTGTTTTCTGTGCTTTATTCACTTTTGTAAATGAAGCGCTGCACTGTTTTGTTTTTTATATATGTGATGCTATATTGTTGAACACATGATACTTGGGCTGGGGTAGCATGAGAGCTTTCCATACTTGCAAATTTGAACTGCCGCTACATTTTTGATATTTGGGAAATGCTCTGATTCTCTCAAATGATGTATCTTTACCCGGAAAATACCTGACTTTTACATTATTATGAATTTTTGTGGTTACCCCATTTCAAAAGCATGGGCATTAATATGGAGTTGTCCCCTCTCTCTGCCTTCCATTGCAACTATAACCGTTTTCAAACTTTTAAAAAATGTGGCTATGGGAATTTGTGCCTCTTTATCCAAATCAGAATTTGTAAGGTCAGGTACTACTGTTGGATGAATCTACCTGGCTCGAGTGCCTCCATATCCTACTCATCATACCATGCTTTTGTGGACTTGCCTTTGTGCACTGTTATGCTAGAACCTCAAAGGCTTTCCCCAAACTGTTGACACAAGGTTGGAAGCACACTACTTTATCTTTGTATGCTGTAACATTAACAGTACCCTTCACTAGCATTACCTGAACTTGGTAATTTGGAGATGAACCCTTATACCTTTTTTTCTCTCTAATAGTATGGGGGATGGTCTGGTTTCCACAAACGTTTTACCATATAGTGTAATACACATTGCTACTTTTAGGAAGAAGATTTTCTTGTTTGATAGAACCAAAGCATTTTCTGTAGACTACCATACTTCCATATTGCGATGTTCTGTTATCTATTTGAGTGAGAAATATCAATAAAGTGATTATTGAAGTAAACATATGTGGGGTAAGAGGAGGGTCAGACAAAAGCATTACATACTTTAAATTTTTAATTTCCAAAATGTATGCAGCAAGCTATTCTTGCACAATTAAACAGGAACCATGGATTTTTTAATTAACCCTTGCAGTGGGGATACCCCGGCACAGAAAGGGTTAAGTGCTTGGTGGTGTCTAAGTTAAAAAAAAGTTATATTCGCTCAAACCTCTGAGTCGGCTTCTTCTTAGATCAGTCTTTCCAACGTCTCTGCCCCTCCTCTGCAGCGGTCTAAGGTCCCATAAATCATCACGTCTATACACAGTATATAGATGTGAGGATGCTGAGGAAGATTACAATGATGCAGTTAGGTGGAGGCTGGAGAGAGTGCTGTGGCAGCTGGCCGGCTTGGAGCTTCAGGTGAGTATAGCTTTATTAATTTAGCAGATAGACACAAATGAGCACAAGTTCTTCTTTTAGATGGAATAGTAATTGAGACAATTCTATATAATATGTATTTTTTCTTTTCCCCACAGGTCCAATCTGACACTCAGGCGATGTATGACATTATTTACAGTATTTCAGGACCAGGAGTGGATTCACCACCTGTGGGTTTGTTTTGGGTTGATCCCAAAACTGGAGACCTGTACATCAATGGCATAGTGGATCGGGAAGAATACCCTTCCTATCCGGTAGGCGTATTTCCTCTTGGTATTCCAGAATGAAAATATTTATCAAAATTTACTGGCAACTATTGTTCATATTTTATTAAATTGAATATTTGTGTTATTTTACTTTGCAATTTAAATCCCAACTACAGCCCAATCATTTTTATGTTGTTATGGATAGACTGTGGCAGAGTTAGAGTTTTCCATTCGTGTCTTTAAATCCTGGTAACAACCACATCTGCCTATCCCATTCTTTTGTATGAATGTTACAAGGACAAATAGGGTTACAAAGAAAAATAGTAACCTGACAGAAATGTTAACTCTTTATTACTCGCCAAAGTAAAAAAAAGGCTGAAGTTAGCTTTTAAAGAAAAACTGTCAACAAAGATTTTAAATCCTTCGGGTATCCCCCAGGGGACCAAATACATGGAGCCATTAATCTTTTTTTTCTGTGCTGTAGCTACACCTCAGGCTGAAGCCCAATATATGGGCATACCCAATGAGGACTTACAGCACAGCACTAGCCCTCACCCATTTTCATAGAAGCAGCAGCCTGCACCAATACAGTAGGTTTACTACTGCCAGGGGCGTCCCGAGGCTGGGTGACACACGGAGTGGAGATCGGGTGACACCCTGCCGTGATGTCATCGCACATGTGCAGTCATCTTATTGACGACTGCCGGCAGCCATCTTGGTGATGGACGCCGGCAGAGAGAGGAGGGGACGTTCACCTGGCGGGATGAGGTATGTCGCTGGGTCCCCTCCTATCTCCTGACTCTGTCGGGCAACTTTTCATATGGGTTGACACCAGAATGATTGTCAGTCATTTTGGTGTTACCCCTCCAATGGTGGCACCCGTGTGCGAGCCGCACCCCCCTTGTGACGCCACTGACTACTGCCTGCTGATCTGGAGTAAGAGACTACAGTACTACCTGCTGACTCGTGTTGTGAATGACGGCACGCTGGATACAAGAGCCTCAAAGCTAGTACTCTCAGGCAACTGAGCCCAGAGCGGCTTGCTTGCTATTGTAGGGAGAGGTAGTAGTTGTTGGCTTGTGTTGGGAGCTTTTGTGTTTTTTATGTATGATGGTACTCATCTGGAGCCACTGTCAATTATAACACAAGCTGTCAGCTACTACCTTGATCTCTCTCCCCGCAATAGTTGGTGAACGGGTTGAGCTCAGTCAGTCTCCATCTTTCCTCCGTGTCTTTCCACTTGTACAAGGTAGAGCAGAGGAGATGGAGAACTGCAGATTGAATTGAAGTTCTAGGTCTTATACCTCTCTCGCTCATCACTGTTCAATGTCCATGACTGTCTGTCACTGCCCCCTTTCCGTGTCTGTCAGTTTTACTTAATTATACATTTGTCTCCTTGCAAGCTGCATGGTTGGCCAGTGGTGCATGGATCAGAACAGCAGTACAGTATAAGGCAGACAATTGTACTATACACTTGATATTTGGCTTTTCTGAATAGTATAGCACAGTGTACCCCACTAACTCTCCTCCCTTAGGATGCTTCATTAGCTCAATATACAATTGAATGGGGTTAGTCTCCTTTATCACATCAAGGAGAGCAATTGAGCTTGCAAAAATATTGCCATAAATATATTGTCACCAGGACAAACAGAGAAGATGAATGTCTCCAGCCGGGACAACACTAAAAAGTTGACAGAGGTTCCAACCCTTCACCATTCTAAAACTTATAAAAATGTTTTGGCTTTAGATGTACTTTAACTGTTTCTTCCCTAGAAACTTGCATAAACCTGTACTTATCTTTCAAAGTTATCTATTTCTGTGACGTATTTTGTAAAAAATTACTAACCTTCCAATTTTATATCTTACATTCAGCTAATCGTTTATGCAACAAGTGTAGATGGATTTTCACCTGAGTCTCCTCTGACGTTACCAGTTGTCATAGAAGATGATAATGATAATGCTCCAGTGTTTACTGAAGCAACGTTTTGTGCTGAAGTGTTGGAGCACAGTAAATCTGGTAAGCTTACTTTTTAGTAGTCATCAGATTTTTAGTGTCATATTTGAAAATGTTATAAAAGCGAAACATCTTGTGGTCTATTGTGGGCAAGTCTTACTTTTTTCCCTTTCTGACATTTTTTATACACAAGACCCTCTGTATATTCAAAATGGTGTCAGTTGCCTCCCAACATCAAAAGTCTCATAAATGCAATTTTATTCTATAGGCATTCTAAAAAGAGTTTTAATCGTAGTGGCATGAGATTAAGCTTTTTTTTTTTTTTTACTGATGACTAATGTAAACATATTAAAAGCTATATTCTGCAAATTATGTGATTACCATTAAGAAGTTTGTTTTGTGCTACTAAGCAATTGAAAATGCTTTGGTAGCTTAGCCCTAAGTTTAAACCAAAGGATGGCCTTTGGGTGGCACTAAGAGCATTTAGTGTCACAAAAGTAAGTCTAGGAGGTTAAGTTATGGTTTTAAGTGCTAGATTAGTTTTAAGGATTAGATGTTAAGGTAATTTTTACTTTTAAAGTCAGGTTAAGTATCAAGGCAAGTTAAAGGGAAGACATAATTTCCCCTTCTTGTGTAATGTTGCCTGATCCTACATTGGCCTAAATTAATTCTACAGTAAGGTGTTTACCTCTGCTTTAGTGTAACTTTTTTTTATTATTCAGTGCCGTTACTCATTTTAAATTATGAATGTATTTGATAATGTCTAGTTATTTTCATCAGAGCTGTGTTATGAAGTACAGTTATGCGTGTATTATTTTTATTTTGACTTCTGTTAATGTATTGTGATGTGTTCTTATTTGAAGGTACTGTTGTGGGAAGAGTTAATGCCACAGACAGAGATGAGCCAAAATCTCGGCACACCCTGCTAAGATATTATCTTATTAACCAAATTCCTCCATCACCTATCATGTTTGCCGTGAATGCGGAGTATGGCATAATCACAACAACTTCATTGTCAAACAAGCTTGATAGAGAGGTAAGGTGTTTTTCCATAGTTCAAGATCATTTTTAGAGTTCTTCCATACAAAATACACTTACTGAGGCTAAAACTCAGATGTATTCCAGCAGGTCTGCTAATTATTCTTACTATCTTTGGCTAAGCTCTATAGGAATGTATCCCACATACCATTTTTTTTAGCACCTAGACACAAATGAGTACTTAACCCTTGCAGTGCAATATTTTCCAGGAGTCCTTCTTTAACTACTAAGACTGATTGTGCCCCTTTACATGAATATCAAGTGCAAACTTTTTTATTTGTATTAAATATTGAAATATTCTACTGTTTGAACATATGTAAAAGTATATTAAACTATAAGTAAAGTTTTATCAAAAATTTTAAGCGTGGTGGAATGCATGGTAGACATGGTGGATTGTAGTGCTTGCTCAGTGAATGTGGAAGCAGGGTTTATTCAGTCATGTGCAAGTAAAATTCCTATTTTTGTTTTCATTTTCCTTGCACATGTTTGGTTATTCCTTGCAAAGTGAACATGCTTTACTGCTTTAGTAAATCAACTTCTGTGTGTAGTGTTGCACTCTAGGAATTGGTAAATGCATGTGACAGTGAAACAGGGTTGCCCAGCAGTAGATCTTTAGGTCCCTCCTTTTGACCTTTTAGATCTCATACAAACTGTAATAAATAATATACCCTCTTCTATGAATAGGTTTTTAATATATCTACATTTGTTATGCAACTGTCCAATGTAATAATGTATCTGTTAAAACGGAACTTCATGCCAAGCAGATATTAGAAACGTGTTTCTTGCCAAATTTGTAATTCTGTGCTGACTCTCCCAGTCTGTGTGCTGCTGTACTAGAGTTGCAGGAAGCTGATATCAAAATAAATTCAAATACTTAATCTAGCGCCATTTAAAAATACATTTTTAACGACTATATAACCAGATTACATTTTAAGCATTCATATTGTATCAGGGCTATTTACAAAAGGGAGAAGGCAGGAGTAGTGAATAATCTAGGACAAATGGCTGATTTGGAAACATTCTCCAATTCAGCTCACTTTCGAGTTCAGTTATGTTGGCCTAGATTGTTCACTTCTCCTGCCTTCACCAAACTCTTTACTCCTTTGTGAATAACCCTGTATATCTTACATAAGTTTATCTTTAAGGGTATGGATGTGTTTAAACAATGTTGTTCTAATATTTCAATAAAGGTTACAATGGCAACTACATATATTTAGTTTGGTTCAAAAAGACACAAGTCCAGCGATTTCAACCTATAGAGAAAAACAAAGGAATAGAAAAACCTCCATAAACAGAACTCTATGCCCACAGTTACCCACAGATGATCAATAGGAAAGCAAAAAAAAAAAAACAACTCTAAAAAGCAGGCATCAATTTGCTCCAACAGGGGGAAAAAAAAAAACCTTCTTGGTCCCCTAAGGCAATTAGATATTCCCTGAATCAACATTGTGGTGGGTTTTTTTAAACTACTAAAATGTTAAAGAGTTCCTGAGGTAGCCTATCCCAGTTTGTCATAGCTATTACTGTGAAGAGGCCTTTTCCTCCAGAAGCAAAGAATGCCACCTTGTCCTTTGCTGTGACCTTAAAGAAATAATTTTGCACCAAGTTCACTCGTTTATGTATTTGTAGAAGGTATATCCCCTTTAATTGCCTCTTCTCAAGAGCATGTTTAAAGTATGCGTTTTATTTGTGTTTCTTGTCACTATTTTTAATCAAGTGCTGTTTTAGTCAGAATTTTCTGTAAACTGTATATGTATGTGCTTAACTCCACAGACAATGGACCAGTACACTCTTCTACTTGAAGTGCGTGATATGGGTGGCGACAGAGGTTGTTTGTCTTCAACTGGCACCATGTCTATAACGGTCCTTGATATTAATGATTTTGCACCAGTCTTCACACAACAATCAGTAAGTTTTCAGTGTTCCTTGCTTTAAACTTTAAAACACTTGCACTGGTCAAGATGAATTCAGTTCATGCAAATGTATTACGTTTCCAAGCAGTCATAAATCTATGCTAGCATACATATGTTCACATGGGCTAGATGTTCCTTTGTATGGCTTAAACAAAACAGTAGTTGAATATAAATTGTTATGGCTCACTGAGTATAATCAATCTTTCTACCATTTAGTATCAGGCTGAAGTGAATGAAAATGAAAGTGGAGTGCTCATACTAAGAATCCCCGTAACAGACAATGACATGTACAACACTTCAAACTGGAGAGCTGTGTATAAAATCACACAAGGAAACGAAAAGAACTTTTTCAATATAACTACTGATCCACAGACAAACGAAGGGCTGCTTCACGTTATAAAGGTAATTGCCATTACCATTTCGTTTTCATGTTTTGCATGCTTGCCTTGGATTTGCCTTTCCTAATTGTAATGACAAAGTAAAGGAATCTGTCACCTGTGAGGAAATTCAACAGCATTTGTAAATCATATGGAAAACCATTTATACTGTTCAAAATTCATGCTGCCATTAAAAGCCATCTCCAGCCAAACTGAGCCGAGAAGGGTTAGAGCCTTTGTTAGGAGTTTGAAGTTTAAGTGATACACTTTTTTAGCTTACTTAATTTATCCAAGATGCAAGCTTTCGCCATTCCTTCATCAGGCTTTATGCATTTCATCAAGCCTGACAAAAGGATTTAAGGAATATTGAAAGTTTGCATCTTTAATAAGTAACCCTGGGTATACGCAGTTATAGTTATGTTCATTTTTTAGAACGTCAGTCCGATTTTCTAATGGTTCATGGGGTCAAATTGATGATCCACTGTGGTGATGAAAAAAAATCGATGGAAAGAGCAATGACTGCTCTTTTCATGCAGAAAACTAAATTTATTCTAGAATTAAATGTTAACTGTTTAAGTAAATGTGAACAACTTTTTTTAAAGGCTTTTTGGTCAATTGTATGGCACCTAGAAATCAAATATTAATTTGTATAAATGTGTTTTTAGGGAATAAACTATGAAGAAATCCAAAGTTTTCTACTACAAGTTTCAGTAACTAATGAAGTAAGCCTGGTAACACAATCTGGGACAAAAAGCAGTGGTTCTTCTACTGTTCCAGTCAACATCATTGTTAAAAATGTTGATGAAGGTCCTGAATGTCAGCCTAGTATTAAAGAAGTGAATTTTCAAGAAAATAAGACAATTGGTACAATCGTTACAGAATATCTGGCTATTGATCCTGAAACTAAAAGTTCTACTGGCATACGGTATGTGAATATAAATGGCTTATTACACCTGCTGCTTTACGATATGGCTTTGCAGAACAAAGTAATAGTTTCATTTAACTGCTGCCCTCCCCAGGAACACATACTTGCATTCTCTTTGCCCCCCCCCTCATGACCTCTGGTAGCAAAGATATACTCAGCACTTCTATCTGTGGGAAACATGTGAGTCATTCCCCTTCCTCCCACATGGCCGCAATGGTGCTTGATGGTTAGCAATTTAGGAACCCAATTTTGTCACATGGGGTTTGAGATAGTCCTTAGCCCTTTCTAAGCTCCAAGTCATGAGCTGTAGATTACACTGGGCTTTCTTTATTCACTCCTGGTGGTGAGGAGATAAAAGAAAATAGCAGGGGAAGGCAGCAGTTAAGTGAACTTGTTGCTTTACCGTGGATGGGCAAAGCACAGGCTCATGTTGAGGAACTATGTATGGTTTTCAATGGGTTAACGTGTCTAAATCTTTCCCACAGATACGAGAAGTTGTTAGATCCACTGGGGTGGGTCAATGTGGCTGATAATGGTCGAATTTCTACTGCCAAAGTTTTGGACTATGACTCCAAAGATGTTCCAAAAAAGTATAATATAACATTTTTGGCAACTGATACGTGTAAGGTTTTAATTAAGTTTTTTTTGGCATTTGAAGTGTGCATGTGTGTGTTTGTATTCAAGGCCACAGTCAGTACAGATGTCTAATACTTAAAAGAGAACTATGGGGTAAGTGTTTTTCCCCATAGGTTTTGTAAGGGTCATGGGAGGACATAAACTAGCGTCCTCCCATGACCCAAAGCTCAGTAAATCGCGAGCTACAGCTCGCGGTATACTGAGAGCTCCGCAGCCAGAATGGATCCCGACATTACTCTCGAGATCCACCCAGCTGCATGAGTGACATGCCCTAGAGGCAGAGGCAGCTGTACCTGCCCCCTCCCCCGTCCATTCCTCCAGTCCGTGCTGGAGGATGTCACGACTCTCTGAAGGGACATGATCGAGAAGTGAGCGAACAACGGTATGTGTTCGCTCACTTCCCGATCTATTGAGCTGACGTGTGACAGTTTTTTCCAGAGCAGCCAACCACAATTAATGTATTTATTTAATATGACCAATAGTTGGTACCATTTAGGTTTAGATTCTTGAATATGATATTATTTTGTTTCATATCAAAGTGTGTTTCAGTGTGCAGGCCCGAATTTCCCACAAGGCCACAGAGTGCAGAGGGGCGGCAGCGGTGACCTTGTGGGGAAGTTGCGGGCGCCAGTGTAAGGTGTCCTGGCGGCGGACCGTAGTGTGCGGCCGCCGGCCAATCATGGCGCTGCAGGCAACAACTCCTCCCCCCAGCTGTCAGATATAGGGCGCGAGGTATGAATCCACCGGCGTCCTGTTAATGTTGATTAACGCCAGAGGAAGTAGCCATCTACCTTGCTATCACACAGAGGATTGTTATCTCCTGTGTGATAGCAATTATGTAATATTATTGCGTATTGCGTATTGTGGAACTGTGTGTGTGTGTGTATATATATATATACTGTAAATGTTCTAAAATTAAAAATGTTTGAAATTTTAGTAACCATGGTTCGGTCAAGTATTATGATGAACTTTAGACTTTCCATATTTTCGTGACAAATTAGGACAGTGATACCACATTTAGAAAAACAATTGTGGTTTTGCCAAATATAAGCAGATCACTGTGGAGTATAACTGAAATAACGCAATGGGTTCATGGCACCAAGGCCGAGTGTAAATCCTGAAGCTACCCTAAGTAGCCTTAACTTTCAAGCAACCCTTTTCAAGCCCACCTGAAGTCACAGAAGTACTGTAGATATGCAGTCAGACCAACATTGTACAAACAACCTCCATTTTGTTATCTTACTCTACTTTCCTGTTAGACTAGTTGTGTAGGATATTTAAATATGACCGTGCAGTCCAGTAGTCACCAGAATTACACTGAGTGCCCTCAGTAATCAGCATGAAGTAACAGATCTGGTCTGACACACCACTCTCCTCTGCAATTCATGTCTGCTTAAGGAAACTTGTGATAAAGGTTGTGCATGTTACTCAGCTATGCCAACATAGAGCACTGGAGAGAAGCAGCATTTTGACAAAGAGAAAGGGGTATTTTAAGGCATTTCCAAGCAAACGTCAGTCACAAGTCATAGCATGCAATGGTATAGGACTATAAAGCAATAAAAAGGTGGTAGACTCCAATTGGATTTTACCCTACTTGCTGCTTGAACCCTTAGCATTTAGCCTAAACTCTAAGATAATGTCTACATTTGTACCCCACTTTTCCCCTTATCCTATGGTTTAATACTTACCTTGACACTAATACTAAATTGTAATTCTAATATATTTAAAAAACAATGAGCCAAACAAGCACTGGTGGGGAATAAGTCACTGTCGTTAAAAAACGACTCCAAAAAACATGCATCTGCAGTGAATGTCAGATTAACTGTTTTATAAATATTATCCTTAACCCTCCAAGACAAGCAAAGCAAATTTTTAAATTTAAACAACTGTATTTCTAACAGAAATTTAATTTGAGGAGATGTTGATTATGTATATGTTATATAATAAATATATTAGCTACATTAAAGAGCTTTCAGCCACATTCTTTGTTATTTCATTAACCAGCTAGCATGACTGGCACCTGTACTCTTGTGATAAACCTGACGGATCTTGATGAATATCAACCGAATCTAGCAAGGAGCGATGCCACCATTTGCAGAAATGGCAGAGCATATGACATCATTGAAGCAGTTGACAGAGATGGAAGTGCCACCAAATTTCCATACAGATTTCGAATAGATGGCAGCATAGATCCAAGGGTTCAGAGCCAGTGGCGCCTTACCCAAGACAAGGGTATGTGACTAATTTGACCAATACTGTAAAGTTTTGTCCAACACTTTAAAAAAATCCAATACTCAACTTGTGCTTAGATAAATTCTGACCTATCTTTTTATTAATCTGCTTCTCATATGTACATTTCTGCCTTTCTCCCGAATCTTAAACCTCATGCTTGAGTGTTTGTCTTTTAAATAAACATCATGGGGGTGATTTACTAACCTAAACACACACACACACCAGGTGTGTGTGATTTTCACACAGCAAAACGTATTTATCAACCAAAAAGTCTCTAAAAGCATATTTCCACAAATGCCATATATGGAAAAATCATGCACATGATGCATATATAATGCTGCTTCACAGTTTAGACAAAAATGGTTAGCTCATGCATTTACATTCCTTGCATTCATCAACGCAAGCAACACAACATAGAGCTAATTTACCCAACATCACCTTGGAATTCCTTCAGGGCTTTGCACAACACACCTGCTGGGTGTGTACACATTACAAAGGTGTTTAGATTCCACCCATAGATCATGCTGGGAGGGAACACACTGCAGAGGTGTATACACGTTCGTGGTGTGTTTATAAGGTTAGTAAATCAACCCCTATGAGTCAAGGGACAGGGGTATAAGTCAATCATTCAGATTACATTTTCAAGATTACAATAAATGTCGGGATTATTTTTTGTGAATCTGGAGAAGGCACAGAGCCGAGCACTAGCAGAGAGGGGAGAACAAAATGAGACCCATCAGGGCAGAAGAAAGTCTCTTTCAGTTTTCACTATTTTTCACAAACATTTAGGCATATGTTTGTCACTTTTGAGATAACTAATTTGCAGTGGATGGAGAGGGCAAATGTCAGCAAATGTAACTAAGGATTTAGAGCCAAAATATTGAGCATCAGATATTGATCAAATTTAGCAAGTAGAGCTCAGTTTTTCCTCCATATGAATCAATGTTGGATCTTTTGGGGTTGATTAAGTAGGAGTGTTTACTATGCAAAATAAATGGTCACCCAGCCTAGTTAAAAGGTGAATTTATGTATACTTCAGTAATCCAAAGAAGTGAAAGCAAAAATCAATTTTTACTCATGCATTTTGTTTGAACGTGATTTGTATTAAAATTTAACATAGCTTTACCTTATTTAGTAAGCTAAGTAAACTTTAACTTTGCAAAGTGAACATGCTCTACTCCTTTAGTAATTCAGCACCACTGTTAAAATCTGGATTTCCTATAGAAGAGTGCGAAAGCTGGATAAGTGTGAATGGCAAAGAGATGTGACCAAGTGTGGCAAACACATGGGTGAATGTGGCTCTTGAATGCGCTCTGTAATTGTTGAGAAAGATCTGCTGGTGTCTCAACAGTAAATAAGTGGCAAATAATTAGCTGCATTATAAATATGCCCCTGTGTTAAAATGTCTTTCTGGAGAAAGCTCTTTTTTTCACACACTAAACATCTTACTTTGTTCATGAAACACATAAACTGAGACAAAGAACTTATATAAACTGCACGCAAGACTTTACTGATAATTTCTTTTAAACTGTATTGAAAATTATTCATTTTGCTTTTGTCGCTATAGCAGAGCATGAAAAATGAAGTGACGCAGGAACTCAGCAATACCTAGATTATTATCCTAATGTCATTACAAATGTTCTTTTCATTTTATCTATTAATAACTATTTTGTTGAGTTAAATAAATGTCTTTTTCTGCCTCCACAGATAATACCATGAAAATTGAAGATGCTGCTAATCATGAAACTGGAGTATATACAGTTCCAGTACAGATAGTGGATCATTTAGGTCGTGTCTCAAATGAAAATGTGAGAGTTTCAATATGTCACTGCCCTGATGGTCAGAACTGCGCTAGTCAACGTACTAATTCAAATACCGCACTTGGAGGGCTGGCAATTCTTATAATGGTTCTGTCAGCACTACTGCTTGCGTTACTTCTCTGTAAGTATATTGTAATTCCTCTTCTAATGTAGCATCAAATATTATGAAAAGCTAGAATCAAGACCATCAACTTGCACCACGTACTTTTGAAATGTATTTTCAGATTCTTTATATTGAGACACAAGCCGTCTGAGTATTACATCTGATTTCCACAAACACAGTAATCTGATATATTGTGCATCAAGACACATTTTAAAAATATATTTCATTAAATGGACCAATTTTCATGAATGTCTCCTTATGGGGACTGGTATCACTTTACAATATAAGATTGATAGTATAGGGAAATGTTTCTATTTAATTTTTCTTTTAAGTGTACTAGGAAATGTGCATAGGCTGCCCACAGACAGGCAGATATCTCATCAGCCTCCACTGTCCAGTGCTGGGACCTGCTGCAATATGCGGTCAACAAAAGCATAGTGTGTGCTGCAGGTGGACACACCGCCCAACTTTCTTAGATGAGAAAGAGGGACACCTTCCAGAACAATGTATTTACACAATAGATACACACCTGCCATGCTCCCAGTTATGCAGACCATTAAGAATGTACAGTAATACCTTGGTTTACAAGTAACTTGGTTTGAGAGTGTTTTGCAAGACAAGCAAACATTTCTGAAAATTTTTGCCTTGATATACAAGCAATGTCTTGCAAGAAGAGCAAAATTTTGTAGAAAAGCACCACCCGAATAAGGCTGTAGCAGTGCGAGCGATGAGTCTTTTTAACGACAATGCAATGTCACATTGAATAGATTCCTTGTTAAGGTTCCATGAAATGAAAAAGATTCCATTGAGTCAAGGGATAGCAGTGATTCCGTTAGTGATAGTGAAAGTCGTCCTACACAATAATCCTCCTCTCTCTCGTCCCCTCACACCAGCCACGAAGGTACCGATAATTGGTTTATTTTCTTTATATTTTGTACAGTATTATATTACAGTACAGCATTGTAATCATTTTTATATGAATATTTTTGGGTTCTGGAACGAATCATCTGAATTTCCATTATTTCCTATGGGGAAATTCGCTTTGATATACAAGCGCTTTGGATTACAAGCATGCTTCCGGAACAAATTATGCTCATAAACCAAGATATCACTGTATATGCCAAAATGATTGGTAAATCCCAGAATTGTTTTTTTTTTTCTTCATTACTTTTCCTTTATACTGGCATACAAGATATTTTCATAGATATCTGTACACCAGACCAAAAGAAGGAACAGCTGAGGAATAAAAAGGGAAAAAGGGGATTTGGTTCCAGAAGAGGGACAGTTAGGAGGTATGGGTGCTGTATTTTTCCCAAAGGATCATGTTTCACTCCCAGAACTGGAAAATCTTCTTGCATGCCTACTTATTGGGCCATTTATACCCAGCGTTATCTAGCTCCTTATCATAGTCTATGCAGCATTGATTTACTTGTTATGTTCATAGCTAAAGTATATTGTATGTCCAGCCAAAATGTTTTTCTTAGTTTTGAACAGAGTAGGGAAAGGCAGGAACTCATCAGGTTTTAATGCTATCTAGGGTTCTGTTGGAGAGATTTACCCTCATTTCCTGTCCTGGCAATAATATTTCACAAGACAGCAATTGAGAGTATTAAAGAGAATTGTCATTGATCTAAGCCAAGTCTGACTGCTGCTTTTAGCAACAGATGCTGATCCTGCTCCTAAGCTCATCTCCATTTACAAGATATTTTCTGATCCAACGATTAACAACTTATTTATTGTTTAAAAATGTACAAACATATCTCTGCCTATGACCTTTGGTTTGTACACGTTTCTCCAAGAGTAGCACAGGTAGCCAAGTAGGGGAAGGTTAGAACCCCTGTCAGATTTTTTTAAATATCTTTAACTGTTGCAGATCTTCCCCAACTTCCTGTCTGCTGAAACTATTGTCAGTAGCACAGGAAGTGATGGTGAACAAAACACAAAAATATTTAATTGAATTACTTAAGGCACTAAGTTATGGACAGTTATAAAAGACTTAACATATAGCTAATATAGCTGATATTGTGACATCTGTTTGCATGTTAATATGATATCTTGTTGATGTTGGAGAGGCAAGAGTTGGCATCTGCTTCCCAAGTCTTCATGGCTTCCATTAAGAATGACTGACTGGGGAAATTATCTCAAGCATTTTTATTTGTTACAAGTATCAGGGTATTCTGCAAGTGTATCAAGAAAATTAACAAATCTTAACCCCTTCGTGACTGACAACATACAGTGTACGTTGCCAGCATCGGGGCTGTTTAAACAGACTCCCAGCGACTTTTGCCGCTGGGACTCTGTTTAAACTTGTAGAGCCGACTGTCGGCTTTACAACAGAATCGATTCTGGTGACTTACCTGTCGCCAGTTTGCTTCTGTGTCCCGAAGGAGGGGCCGCCCCCCCGCCAGACACCGCCACCGTGCTTCCTGGGCTCCGTTGCCCCTCCTACGGGCCCGGGATCGGCGTCCTTGGTGTCCGTGGGGAGGAGGTCGACAAACTTCCGTTCATCGATTCCCTCCCCGTTCTATGGGACCGGGAGCGATGCAGATTGCATCACTTCCGGTCCCTGGGCTGTCAGTTCTGGGCTCCTGCAGCCCAGCTATAAGCTATTGATGTGCTATCTGCACTTCAATAGCTTATTTCCAGTGTAAAGGTGACACTGGGGGTCTTTTGGACCCCCAGCATCACCTTAAAGAGTACCTGTCACCACCATGTGCTATCACATGGGGGGGCTTGTAAGCCCCCCCATGTGATAGCAGTCAAGGTAAAGTAAAAAAAAAACAGTTTTTAAAATTCAAATCAAATAAATCTAATAATAATAATAAAAAAATGTAAAAGTCCCCCGCGAGCACGTGCGTCGCCACGTAAACACGCGCCTACGTATGAAAACGACGAACGCGCTACACATGTTGGGTATCGCCGCGCACGCCGGAGTGAGAGCAATAATTCTAGGGCCAGTATTTTGGGGTATCTCTAAATTGATGACCTGTGGGGGCTTTTAAAGCGTCTTCTATGGACTTTTTGGGGTACTGGGGTTTTTCGCCGTTTTACGGATGCACGCAATTTGTAACCTGGGCATGTTGGGTATCGTTTTACTCGTTGTAACCTCATCTTTTATATTTCATTTAAAAAATGGGTAATTTGTTGTGTTTTGGGGCATTTAATTAAATTTGTCACTAAATTTTGGGGTTTAATAAGGAGTTGCGCTAATATTGCGCAACATAAAAATTTTCAACTACCACCATTTTATTCTATAGGGTCTTGGCATTCAGAAAATATATAATGTTGGGGGGTTTTACGTCATTTTCAGGCCTAAAATGTGGAATATAACATGGGTGCAAAAATTGAAAAAAGGGCCTCAGTCATGAAGGGGTTAAAGTTATTTTCGGGACCAATCTACGTTGCTTGCTGTCAAGCAGATCCCCGTTTGTGTTATTGACCTAAAAAAACTATGAAGCTAGTGAAGTCAGGACTTTTGACCTGCATACTTGTCCCAGGTTAAAGTACTGAAGTTAGAGGCTCAGCATTACGCATTTGGACAGCTAGCATTTTTAGAATAATGTCAGCAATGGCAGACTAGGATGGTCATTCACAAAGCTGCCGAAGGATCTAGCCGTAGCTTCGGCTGATCCTTCGGCTAGCCTCGGCCTCAACTTCGGGAACTGTACTATAGCCCGTACAGCTCCCGAAGTTGGCCGAGCGGCTCAGTCGAGCCGAAGGCATATGCTTCGGCATCTTCTGGGTCGAGGTGAAATCTGAAGCTGGCCAAACGGCCGGTCATTGGCCGCCTGAAAGCCTGCTACTGACAGCTGGGCTGAGCCACCCGTCATCTCACGGCTGGCTCCGGGCACTTGCAATGACAGATCAGCATTCTCTGTTTACCAGGTAACCAGGGGACGCCAGATCTGTCATTACAATGAGAACTCGGCAGAGCCGCTGTGATATCAGTGTGTAATAATAGTTCAGCTTTCTCTGGTTATCTAGTAACCAGAGGATGCTGAACTGTCATGAGAGCTTAGCGAAACCGACGGTGATATCAAACCCAGCTCTGCTAAGCTCTCATTGTAATGACAGAACAGCGTCCCCTGGTTACTAGGTAAACAGGGGATGCTGATCTGTCATTACTATGAGAGCTTAGTGGAGCCGGCTTTGATATCACCGCCGGCTTCGCTAAGCTCTCATTGTAATGACAGCTGGTCCCTAGGTGTTTCTCACATGGTAGGTTTCCTTTAAACCCATTAAATTTATTTTGTGGTTCGAGCCTTATCAAGTAAGTGACACCCCCCCCCCTCCCCCCCATGGCCTGTGGTGTGCCTTGGCCTTCTCAGGTCAGTATGCCAAAAAGAGGGCATACTCTGAATGTAAATGGAATGAATGAAAGCAAGGGGAATGGGCGGGTGGGGACGTTCGTGACCCGCCGACGTAAATCCCCTGTGAGCCGTGCCGTCTTTAAAGGCACAGGCTCCTCCCACAAATCCAGGCTAGCCTTCGGCCAGCCTTCAAACTTAGACAAAATATAGCAGGTGCTGGTGATAAGATGTGCAAAACTAATTTTTCTTCTTTCTTTGTCGACAGGTCTTTTGTTGGCATGCCTGTGTGGAGCTGCGGCGGGCAAGGGCAATCTGGGTTTTGTTGATGATGCAGCACAGCAAAACTTGATTGTTGCAAATACAGAAGCACCTGGAGCAGATGTCATGGTAATCCCATCTCTTACACTGTTTATCATACTTGCCATTTAGCTTCTATTTCTGAAGGCCAGGTTGGCAGAATTAGATTTTAAACAGAATGAATATTGCATTTAATGAACACAAATTTTATAATTATTAATGCATTGGCTACAAAATATATCCTCCCTTTTTTTTTTTGGGATAGTGGAGAAAGATTAGTTGCAGCAGCCAGTTTAAAAGAGAAGTAAAGACGAACCTTTTTTGGCTTTACTTTTCTTTTGGGTTACAGGAGTACATTTACTAATAGACCCAAAGTCAGTATATGGCTGGCTACTGCCTGCTATATGCTGACAGCATAGAGCCATGCTACAGCCAGGTAGAATCCTGACAATGTTGTTGGGATCCACCTGAATGCCTGATTGATAGCTAGCTCTGCCTCTTCTCTAGAGCCAGAGCAAGCTGTCCCAGCCACACTGGGAGGCTGAGATTGGTTTATTGATCATGCAATTGCTGCTATTAGCTGTAACATTGGTCACACAATCGAGAGCTTGGCTAACAATCGTAAACAGTGACTGGAAGTACTGAGGACCATTCTTCTGTGCACACTATCAGCATAAAACAGCAGGCTGGCTGATGCATATTTGCGTAAAGCTGGCGTTGGGACCCACCCAACGAGGTGGCACGTATAGGTGTTACACTGGCAGGAAGGTGTTATAAATAGAAAAAAAATATGCATCAGAACCCCAACACATGTTCACTAAGGGTTCTGGTGTGGTCTGGTTTCAGAAATAGTAATTGTTGACTATCAGAAATAATAATTGGTGCTACTGTCTTGTAAAATCATCTGTAATTAATGTAATTAAGTAGATGTGCAGCTACTTCTCTGTAGATTTAATACCTGTCCATAAACTGGTAAAAGCAAATGAACTAAAGAATGGTTGCCTATCTATTTTTTTTTCTCTTCTCTCTTAGGATCCAAATTTTAAAGTCCCGATTTCTATAATAAACAGCAATAAAAGTGGAAATACTTTTTCTGGTTCATATGATCAGAATGGTCAGGAAATGACTCAAATCAAACATCAGCAGATCAATACTTCAAAAACGATAGACCACCACCTAAATGCAGGTGATGGAATGGGAACTTTGGGAAGAGGAGGAGGAGTAGGAGGAGGAGGAGTAGGACATCAAAGGTTTGACTCCAGCAGACAAACCTACGCAGAATGGCAGACTTTTATGAACGGTCACCTTGGAGATGTAAGCACACTTCTGTATTGATGATCTTGATTCTCGATCTCCATTAAATAATAATTTAAGAATTGCATTTTTAATTGCAGGGTATGAATTTACATCATTATATTCTGTCTGAAGGGCCAACAAAGTATTTTTAAGGAACTAAACATAGACTATTACAAAAATGTTTTGTTTGCATAAAAAACATTGCCTTTAACTGTCCATTTTCCAAAAATATTGCATTGACATTGAAGGCAATCCATTCAAAACTGATGTTTTATTTTGGATAGCTGCTGGCAGGCTAAACAACCCACTATCTTTTCTTATCTGCAGGACTTGACATGCACTTGTTGTTCCTAAATTCTTCCTTCGTGATATCTCTGTACCCTAAGCTTACTGCATACACTTGTTCCTAAATTCTTCTTTAGTGCTATCTCTGTACCTTAAGCTTACCACCCACAACTCAATTTTCAGCTGATTTCTGCAGAATCACCCAAAATTTGAGTTGTGGGTGACCCTCTTGGCACCACCTGCTTCGACAAAATTCGATTGTTGAACAATTTGTATGGGAAATTATTGGCTGAACAGTGCCTGCATTCAAATCAGATGCAGACACTGTTCATCTATTCAGCAGCTGTGGAAGTAGGGGCTGCGGAATACAATAGCAACCAATAGGGACTCCTTTATCCAAGCTGCTTAGCGTGGATGAAAGAAATTAATAGTTTCTAACAGGATTCTAAAGAAATTAATGGTTTCTAACAGTATTCTAATAAAAGCTAACAGTGTGTGGTTGCACTAAGCTCACATCCTACCTGTTGCATACACTGTTGAATTTCTCATTTATTTTATATAACGATGAATGCAACTGTAGGAATGACACTTCAGAGATGAACAGAGTAGACCTGGTAACTATGATGGTAAAATCCCAGAAAAAGCCAGCAGGTGATGACAGTTTAATGCTTGTGCGGTGAAAGTATAATTTTTTGTGTGATTTGACCTATAATTGCCTACGTTTTTTCCCCTCTATTGAGAGTAATATTAGTGATCCGTTTTCTGCATTTCATTATGTAAACTTTCACTGCTCCAAAATCTATGTTAATAGTTCATGCCTTGTTCCTACGTGATCACAACACTGTTTTTTATCTTATAGCATCAGTTGTGTATGTAGAAGTGATGCGATCTCATGATTACCTTTGCTGGTGTTCTATGTCAATAGGAATATTTTAAGAGTTTATTTAACCTTCCTTATTTATCCTTCTTGCAGAAACTATACCTGTGCGGACAAAATGAGGAAATTAAACATGGTGAGGATTATGTTGTCCCATACAATTATGAAGGAAGAGGATCAGCAGCTGGTTCTGTAGGTTGTTGCAGTGAATTTCGAGGAGATGAAGATAGGATGGACTTTTTGAATCATCTAGAACCAAAATTCAAGAGATTAGCAGAAGTTTGTTCAAAGAAATGAGTGGTTCCTCAGCAGCCCGTCTTAACAATATGTACTCAGTCTCCTTTAGTATCTCATTATAAACAGGGTTTCATGTGTTACTTTTAAAATTGATTATTGCCTACAGCACATAAAGGCATCCCAGAAAAAGTGGTTTTTATATTAACATTGGTTTACTTGAAAGGTAACTCCAGTCGTAATTGTTACGTTAAGACCTAACAAGTCTGTGTTCCAAACAGCTGCTTATAAAATCTCAAATGTCAGTGTTTTATGCAAACCTGTCAGTTGTTGTCAGTTTGCCAATATTCATGGAACCAAAAAGCTTTGGTGCCATAGAAGAAAATATCGGACAATAATATGGAGAAATGGATTTTAGGACCACTCTAAGATCATTAACTATAAATATGCCCACATTTGTTTTAAAGATAACTATTTGGGTTGGATTATTTTCTAGATGTTAATATCATTTTGTGTATATTTTTTGTAAAAAATGTTTGTGATCTTGGCACGGGATCAAATATTGGGTTTATCAAAAACATTTAAATGTAGGAAAAATCAAATTCCAGTTGAACATTCTATGAATCTGGCCATCAATAAAAAGCGGGGAATGTGACCTGTTTTTAGCACTTATTTCAATTGACATTTTTCAAACATTGCTCTTGCAATATCATTATTTATATACAGTAATGGATATAGTGCAAAGTCCAGTTGGTGTAAAGAAGTGTCCTGTATTACTTTAGTATAGAAGTTTATATGTACCATACTTTTTTTTTCTTCTTTTTTTTCCCTGCAAAGCTTGTAATAGAAACTTAAGGTTATGTGTTTTGTAGTAAGCTGCATTGTTTAGAGCACATGGTAAAAATACAACTTTTTGTGTTTCTTTATGCCTTCACACGTTAGTACTCTACATTTTTACATTGAGATATGCTGCACTTTTTTCATTGGGCATCCCCCAAGCATAAATGCTTACAACATACAGCTGCAACACAAAAGCAAAATATTAATATGACTTTCACAAAATAATTATTGCAAAAATACTCTTTTTGTCACATGCTAGGCTACAATTTGACTATCTAGTTTAAGATCGCTATGTTTTAACCTATTTCTGTACAGCATTCACATGTCCAAACCATAACTCTTTGGGGAAGGGCTTTGTATGGTGTGTATTCGCCATTTGAATGAAACTATGTGGTCAAACACTAACTTACAAAAGTTAATTGGTAAGGTAGTATGAGGAATTGCCATATATAGCCCATTGTGACAATGCCACTCTAAAGTAACTTATACTATTTATTTAAGAACTAATTTAGTCCATTCCCAGTGACATACACAGATATATAATTGATTGATTAATATGTTGTGTTTTTTCTATGCCATGGCAAATTGCACTGATGTTATTTAAATATGTACCTTTTATAGAATTCCAAAAGTGGTGTGTTCTTTGTTCTAAATAGTTAGGTACTCAATTTGTGTTATGTCTTGTATTATCTAAAGCCAGAAAGTGTACAATAGTCTGTTCATGTGTAAGATACCTTTTTGTAGATGCACATAAAACACCACTTAAAATAAAATGTACAGATTTTTTTTATTTTTTTTGTAAGACTATGCTTTTGCATTACAACTTTTTTTCATAGATCTGTCTGCCAAATATAATACTGTATAATATGTATGAACTATTTTCAGATCCTTTTTAGTGCTTCCTTATGCCTCGTGATACATGTAGGGATTTCTGTAGACTAAATTAAAAAGCCATCAGTTGTTCTGAAAATATTGAAGCTCTAGCAACAGTAGGTTACAAAGAATACTTGAATTGAAAGCTGTAGTTTCTTTGCATGATAGCATATATCTGTGATCTGATTTCAGTTATCTTAAAGTCCTGTGGAAGCCGAGAACTTGTTTTTTAAAGGTGCAAGTTCCTGGACTGACCTCCCTTATCCTTGCTCCAATTTCTGGAGAATCTTTAACTAGGAGCAAGTATGCTGATCAGTTAGCAAAGCTAACAGGTTTCCTTTAATACTGTAGCAATTACATTTTTGTATGATCACATAGAGTTAACAATTATCTGGAAATGGCAAATTTCTGTGCTTCAGTGGGTACAGCTCTATAGTATTTTTAAATAAAATGTAAAATATTTAAAGCTGCGGTTGTCATTATTTGTGTAGAAATAAGATTGAAGACATTGGTGAGTGCACAGTTCATATTAGCTCTAGATACCTTTTGAAATCAGAGACTTTGACACACTTTTTGGGGCAAGGGCACATTTCAATATACAACTAAGGAATGTCCCTGTCCTTATCCTGTCATATTATATCTGTTAAAGCATTATGTGTGGTAATTTTCCAAACCAGTGGAAGTGAAAATTGGTTACTTAGGGAAGCATATTTACACATTTCTGTTTTAGAATATGTTTACAGGGAAGGTTTAGCATCTCTTTGTCTCTATGCCAACTTTCCATCTGTTCTATTTGTACACTATGTAGCTAAATGTTTGTGGACACCTACCTTTCACATCCTATATGATTTTGTTGGACTCTAAAATAGAGTTGGGCATTCATTAAGAGTTGCCCCATCCACTTCCTTGAGGCTATAACAGTCTTCACTCATCTGGAAAGGCTTTCCACAAAATTTTGGAGTGTGTCTGTGGAAACTTCTGTCCATTTAGCAAAATAAGCATTTGTGAGGTCAGGTACTGATAGATGAAATGGCTTTCAATCAGCATTCAAAGTTATTCCAAAGTTATTCAGTAGGGTTGAGGTCGGGGCACTGTGGAGGCCACTCTAGTTTCTTATCACTGAACTCATCAAACATGTCTTTATGGACCTGGTTATGTGTAGAAAGGCAGCCATACCTGAACAGAAAAGAGCCTACCCCAAACTGTTGCCATAAATTTGGTAGTGCACAATTGTCTAAAAGGTAGTTGTGTGATGTTTCAGAAACTGTAAACTGCACTGGAATCATCTGCATTCAATAATTCAGAAGGGTGTCCACAAAACTTTGGCCATACAGTGTATCATCCTGAAGACTTACTGCTGTGAAGAAGAGCTTGCAATCTATGTGTAATGAATTATGCCCACCATACTGTGTGTGAGCTCACCAAATATCACTATACCAATCTGAACAAGCACTGCAGTATTATATGTTACATAGTATTTGAGGTTGAATAAAGACATTAGTCCATCAACTGTGATTTTTATTTTTCAGGCCAAGCAGTTGGGACATTCCCTTCCTCTAGTCCAAACAGTGCTGATACACAGAGGTTTAATAAAATGGCCATACAAATTATACAATTAATCTAAATTAAAAAAATAAATAAAAGTGAGTCAGATAAGGAGTAATATAGGCTTTGGTAGAGCCACAGAGGTGAGAAGGGTCTTAAAAATATCAAAATGTACAAAAATGACCCTCAAAAATTGTGTAACTAACACCATTACCTTCTCCCTTTTAAAAGTTATCTGGTTGCTTACGGGCTATGGAGCAAAGGTTGACAAGAAGACATTACTATCTTTCATTGTTACATAGTAACAGTTGATAAGGTTGAAAACTGAGATGAACAAAGGCCTATCTAGTACACTCTTCTAATAATTACGAATTCCCAAAGCCTGTATATAATGCTGACTGAGGAGAACATCTAAAGTCTTATAAATTTATCAACACTTTCCGCTCATACCACTTCCTGGGGAAGAGTTTCACATTTTTACTGCTCTAACCGTAAGGCCTGGTTCACACCTGGGCGTTTTACAGCAAATATGCGCGTTTGTCGTGCCTTTTCGTGCCGCACGTTTTTACTGCGATTCACGGTAAAAAAACGCGCGCCAAATGCGCGTTTCCGAGGGCTAACTGGCTGTGGGGCGTTTTACAGCGCGCTCTTACGCTCTGTAAAACAGTAGAAAGGCATCATGGCACACTCACAAACTAGCATGTAAAACAACTTGTCTCACCACTAAGGACAATGACAGTTGCCCAGCAGCCAGGTAGCCCTCAGAAACGCGCGTTTGGCGTGCGTTTTTTACCGCGAATCGCAGTAAAAACGCGCGGCACGAAACGCACGACAAACGCGCATATTCGATACGCCTAGGTGTGAACCCAGCCTTAAGAAACCCTTTCACAGTTTAAGTTTAAACTTCTTTTCATCCAGTTTTAAATTGTGTCCATGCAACTTCAGGAACCTTAGAATAAAACATTCTTACAGTTTATATGATCATGATATATTTGTACATTGTGATTATATCCCCTTGAAGCACCTTTTCTCCATAATGAATAACTGCGTCGTGCTTTATCTAAAATATTTGTCCTGGATTGCATAGCAATCTTCAAAGTATAGGCATTTACACAAATCAGGGTGTAAAACATGTATCTTTACTGGATAACAGTGATAATATAATCAGGAGCTTGGAGCGATGGCTACTTTACAACACACACAAGGACAATGGAGAACAAAAGCAGCCTTGTAATTTTGTCCATTTATTCTTGTGATGCACACACACACTCCTGCCAGTCAATAAGATCATTACTTTTTGCCGGATTAGCTCCCTGCTAACTGTTCTTTACTTTGGTGATTAAATCTCTTTGTTACACAGTGATGTATCCGATTGTTGGAGGTAACCTCTCTTTCAACACACTAAAATCAGTGTGTTGCTTATGAAATCAAAGGCAACAAGTTGCTAGATCTCTCAGTAGTAAATAGATGTAATCACAAGTGTGGCCCCATGTTTAGAAAGCTGAATTGCTTAATCAGGAACTATATATGTCACCTATCTGGCTGTGCAGTGGAAAATATGTGTAACTCACATGTTGTTATTATGTATTTAGCTGTTTTACTAGATTTTTGCTTTAATGTAACAGTGTAAATCCATGGAATTGTTGGCTATTATAATGGCCACTACTAACACCACAGCAAAATCATGCCATTCTTCAAAAAACTACAAAATAATTTATAATGCTCTTCAAATGTATTTACTCTAGTCAATACTGCTGGAATTCAACTGTTTGATGATAGATTTCCGACATTACAAATGAAGTCAAAGCATCCTGCTACAAATATGTTT